CGGAGTACCTATTTGGAGTTTGGAGAAACCTTTTTTAGGAACATGTCCCCCCCGCAGCGTCCAAGACTGCCTCTCTGGATCCCCCAGTGCCCCCCCCCCACGCGAGCAAAGGCGTTCCTATGTTTTATCTAGTGGGTGCCATATGTCAATAATTACACCCTGATAGAAGCTCAGAGGCTTTGCCGTTAACCGTGATAAAGTGGAACGGATTTCGGATGTGTACTTACAGTGCAGTGGGCACCCATGTATTCGGTTCATTGTCATTATACAATACACATGCAATGCAGCGGCTTGGAAAAAGTACGGTAACAACAGGCACTATGAAAGGACGGGGTTTTCAGAGGGTCAACCCCCCCCCCGCCAGTAAAAATCCGTGGCGACACCGCTGCCTCTGACCGACCACGGACGATATCCTATAGTCCCGGTCGGATAAACCACCCCCAGTTTATAAACATCGAATTCCTCACCGGCGCCACGTCGACACCAGAGCTGAGCTTGGGCCTCTCAGCTGCCGCCGTGTCAGTCTGCCGCCAGCCTGCGCGCCGGTGGAAGCCGTAGTGCCCGGTGTGTCCCTCCGAGCCCACTGAGCGCCGGCCCGAGTCTGCCGCTGAGGCTCAGAGTCGTTCGTAGGTCGGGGCTGACCAGAGAGGCCGTCCCCTGTCGTCCTCAGAGGGTCGCCGCAGCCATGTCGCCCCTGCTGCCAGCAGTGGTGGCAGCTCTGCTGACGGCGGCAGCACTGCCAGCGCAGTGTTCTGTCCAGCAGCAGCAGCAGCAGCAGCAGCAGGTCGCAGCGGGACTCTACATCACTCCTGATGAGCTGTGGCAGCTTGTTGATCGTGCCGTCACCGCCGCCATTCAGCCGCTGACCATCAAACTGGACAGCCGCATCGACACGCTGGACTCCAGACTGGATGTGCTCGACGCCCGACTGGACAGAGTATTCGAACAGGAGCGCAAACAGGATTCTGAGATTGCAACGGTCAGGTTGCAACTGGGAGACGTTGAAAAACGTCTGAGTGATCACAACCTTCAACTACAAGGACAGCAAACCAAAGTTGACAACCATGAACTGCTGCTGAACGTGACGCCATCGCAGTTAGGAATCGCGGAGTCCCGACTCGATGAGCAGGTATTGCGACTCCAGAAACAGGACTCACTAATTGGTCGACTCAGATCGAGAATCGACTCGCATGATTCGCGCCTCGACAGCCAAGCGTCTCAGGTCAGCCTCTACGAATCCTCTATTGGTAAACATGCATCTCGAATTGCCGAGCTGAACTCCAGTCTGGAGACGCTTCAGAGCAGGACCGGTGGTCAGCGGGCGCGGATTGATGGGATCACCCTCCGCCTTGACGCCGCTCAGAATGCCTCGACCGATGGTGACTCTGTAGCCCGGGACTGCAGCGACCTACCGGTCGGCTCCCAGAGCGGCATCTACCTGCTGCGGCCCGGTCTGGGGGCCGCCGGAGAGGTGCCCGCCTACTGCGACCTGGAGACGGACGGCGGACGGTGGACCGTCATCCAGCGACGGGCCGATATAGAGCCAAGGGAGGACTTTTACCGGAACTGGACCGCCTACAGGGAGGGATTCGGAGAGCTTGATAGCGAATTCTGGTGGGGCCTCGATAACATGTGGACTATGACATCACCAAGAGGTCGGCGATACGAACTGAGGATTGACTTCGGGGATTTTCAAGGTGGACGGAGACATGCACTATACCAGAACTTCCGCATCTCCTCTGAAACGGACGGATATCGACTTCATGTTTTCAACTACAGCGGAAATGCAGGGGACTCGCTAACTTACCACTCAGGACAACGATTTACAACAGAAGACAGAGACAACGATGGTAGTAGTAAATCTAACTGCGCCAAATTCTATGAGGCCCCTTGGTGGCATAAGAAATGTCACTTTTCCAGCTTGAATGGCAAGTATCTTTCCGGTAAGCACAAACAGAAAGGTCACGGTGTCGTATGGGACGGCTGGCGGGGTAGCGACTATTCCCTGAAAACGGTCACCATGAAGATTCGACCCACCAGGATAGCTCTGAATGATGGATAGACAGTGGCACACCATGTGATACTCCACGCTTCTGTGCTTCATTTTGATTTTTGACTCTTCGTTGTTTTAAAGCGTTCAAAAACGCGTAGGGATTGATAGACGCGACGCATGTAAAATGCACGAATATGTAATATTTACCTGCGCCCCGTTGGGACTCCTGGATTTCCATGCCCTGCTGGGGGGCGGAGGGTTGTTTAAACACCCCCTTCTAACTCGGCTCCTGGGCCATGCGATACGGGGAAGGCAACGTTCAAAAGAGCGTCAAAACTTATGACGAAAGAACTGCAGTTAGTTTTGTTCGAAGGTCAGGTCACCAGAGGTCATTGAAGACCAAATTTCGCCGATTTTCAGGTCGAATATCTTTTTCAAACAAGGACAATATCAAACAAGCCGACGCATAACTCGGAAACTGATAGAGCTACAGCGTCCTGGAAAAGCGCATTTGATAGCCCTATTAGCGCTCCTTCTGAGTATCCCGCTCAGATTTGAACTTACGTGAAATTGAAATGTTTTGCCTGCAGGGGACAATAACTGCAAAATGATAGACGATTTTTTTGCGGAAAGCTTTCTGCAATAACTTTTGATTCAAACGCTGCACGAGCTTACGGCTTTTACCTGCATCGTGTCCCTCTAGTCAAGACGCATCGAATGTACTACAACTTGCCCTTGAAAGGTCAACTTGTTAATTTGACCTCAGTTCAAAGTGATGACATCCACCTCGGCATCGAAGCTGAACACATTTAAGGCGTTTTCATCGCTCTAGCATGCCTCTGTCAAAAGTTATTCGCGAAAAAACTGTTAGATGCCTTTGGGACCTGGGATGACCTCAGAAGCATAAACAGGGATCATGGGTGCCATTTTCACGTTCAGTGTGCCATGTTTACCTATGGACCAATAGATACATATTCGCGAAAAACCACAGGGGGGTCCCCCCCCCTCCAGCAGGGCGCGGGTTAATAATGATGAATGAAATGATCCTGGCGGATCCACGGGGCACTTGGGGCAATGCTCCCCGCAGCGCCCGAAATCGAGAAAAGAATTGTTATTCGACAATAAAACGAAAACTTAACCTTTATGGATAGAATCTAAAGTTCGAAAATGAAGCGTCGGCTTTGAAAAAGCGTTAGGGTGATCGCTTTGTCCCGGGTTCCCCTACTGGTTTTGAACAGTCGGATTAATTTTACAACTCTGCAGGTCGTGAACAACAGATGACGGAAACGGCTGCCGATCCTCGTCCACTAAATCTCACCGTCTCCGACAGCAGAGACAGGTGTAAAAATAAAGACATCAGGTGAGTGCTCAACGCGGTCAGACAGTCACCTCTCCATGACCTGAGAGCCTGCCATGGAGCAGTGCCCGCTCCCCTGGGGGACGGAGGTGACTACATCCGGCAGGCGGGCATGCGGTCAACCACTCCCCTCCTGTTCGTGTCCAGTGGGAGGCATATAACACCGCCCCTGCAGGCTTACTCTCCACTCTGCTCACAGACCACGGGTGATACAGGCGTCGTGGCGTGTCGCCTCGCTCACTCCCCGAATAGGACGTCGAGATTCGCTTCTCTGAAGTACGCCGGTGCATCACCAGATATTCAGCTCGCCAGGGAAAAGTCGTCACTTCTTCGGAAGTTCATCTCTTCTCTCCATCCCATCCTCTGTCCATCCTGTACCAGCCGTCGCGACAGCCATGCGCGCCTGCCTGCTAGCGACTGTCCTACTATTCTTCCTCTTCCCTCGCCCGTCAGTCGAGTACAGAGCCTACCGCCGCCACCCGGTCACATATCATCGCCACGTGGCCCCCGTCGCTTCTTCCCGTGTTTCCTCCCTCTCCTCTGCCCTTCCTCTCCTCTTCTCTCCCCTTCTTCCCGTCTGCGCCGGCCCGACTGCCGTGTGCTTTACCAGGTGGATAAATCAATGCTACAGCGACCAAGACTGCCACCAGAGGGGGCACCACTGCTGCCGCGCGCCCTGCAACAACCAGTGCCACAGGCTCGGCTAGACCGCGCTGACAGCGTCGTCAGGTGGACGTGGCAATGGAACAAGGGTTGGAACTTGGAAGTGCCCTGTGACAAGTGCCACAGACTCGGGTAGACGGAGAAAACACATGTCATCAGGTGGACGCATCAATGTTACAGCGTGTAGAAGTAATCTGCAACAGCTAGTGTCTGAGACTTGGCCAGACGACGGAGCTGACAAATGTGATCGGCTGTAGTAACAATGTAGAGATGGTTGGAGTAAGTAGTACCATCAAAGGCGGCTGGATAGATGCGACGCACATCACGGGGGGACGGATTCTGTACACTCTGCTTCCGCAAATGGGTACTCAGAGTTGACGAACGTCATCTGGAGGAACGACGTCATCGGGTGGAGAGATGACGTCATCCGCTGGAGAAATGACTTCAACGAGTGGAGAGATGACGTCAGCGACTGAGAAGATAAGGTGCCTCGTCAGCGGACAATGCGGTGCTGGATTTGGAGCTTGACGGAGTGTGTGCAGCTTGCCGGACTGCCAGCGTCCCTTCAAATAGAGATGACGTCATCAATTAGAGAAAACGTGACGCCTCATATAACGAGCTCACCAGATGTGTCACCAGCTTTTACAGGGTTCTGAGTTCTCCAATCAGAATGGTTGTTTAACTGGCATTGTAAGTTGAGTTGACATTAATTACCTGACTCGTGCCTTGGATCACACTGAATGCACTGGGCCACACCCGCGTAATGAGGTTGTCGTTTTGTTTGGACGTCAAATCCTTTGGTTTATTCCTTATAATAAACTGTTCCGCAGTATTGATTTGTTTTTGGTTAGAGAAGCATCATTAATTTGAGCTCGCGAAATTCTTACTTTATAAACAAATCAGAAGCCAACTACTACCGTCGAGTGACCATTTGGCGCCATCATGTGCTCTCAACCCGTCCCGACACCTCCAGACTAAACAAACCACCTCACTAGGCAGAGTTTATGTAAAAAACAGCATGGCGCCTGCACGATCAGAGCCGCAGCTTATGCGCGCGGCAGACACGGTTAGAGTGGCCAGTTGAGCGCGGCGGACGGGCCCGCAGCCCGGACTAGAAGAACAAACAGTAGATAGAGCGCCTGAAATGATCAATGTTCGAGACCGGTAGCCAGGAACGAAGCCCTGAAGCGAAGTCGCTTTAGTTAGCAGTACGTGCATCCTGCCTCTATCGCCGAGAAGCGATTCGGTGACGATCATCACGCGTTAGTCCGGCACGACCCGACGAGCATGTAACGTTAATAGAGCACACGACAGGCACAATATCGTCAAATAGCGACGCAATATCGAAGGCGCGTTATAAATGTACAACACATCAGGTGGCATAAAGCCGCACACCTACGCAATAACAAACACAACCGCACATCTCGCACAAACATAGACAAACATACTTTTCAGATGTAACTGAAATTTCCTTGTCAGGAAACACACGCCCCAAGTGTCAGTTTTTGTCCCCTGACTTTGATGTTTTGGTGGCTATTCTGGGTGTTTTATTTTGCGTCACTAACCTGTCGTCTGGCAGAGAGCTTTTCGATTATCTGCCGAGGGTCACCTTACGGTCCATCAGAGCCACTTGACGGTGCATAACCGGTTAAATCTGGTTCGCTCAGACGCCGCTCAGGCTTCAGGGCACACACCTAATAAGGGACAACACCAGCTACAGCGCCACTCTCAGAGAACTCATAAAACCGCTGGGCATTGCCGGATGTGTTTTTAATAGATAGACGAATTTGAACTTAGGTAGGTATTCAGCTACGCTAAGCTTCCAGCCCTTTGTAGCTTGCTTTGAGTATAGCGTATCTCGGATGTATGAATCATAAAGAGGGACTCCTGGGCACGCTATAGATATGACACTGTCAGCGTAATTAATGCCCTTTCATAATTGATTCGTCGCAATTGAGCTACATTATGAAAGACTGCGAACGTATGTTACCATGCGACGTTCGATTTTCATAAAAAGCCCCCGAATAGCGAAACCAAACCACTGATCATTTCGAGCCAAGTCACTCAACACACGCACGCCTCAAGCGAATTCACTAACCCGCACATGGCCGCTCATCCTTTTCAACGGCACACGCGGCTGCCTCGTGACCCAAAATCACCCCTTCCGCTCAGCTGAGTGACGCCTAACACACCAACTCTGAGCACCTTCTCCTTTTTTCACATCAGCACAGCGTCCTGCCACCCGACTGTACGTCTTCCTGGCCGGGGGCGCTGACTCTGCGACTCGCTGACTCCGTGACTCGCTGACTCCGTGACTCGAGTCTACATCTGCACCCGAGCCAGGCGTGTCTCCAGCTCCGCGATCAATTCGTCGGTCCTCGCCGATTGACCGCGGAACTTTCCCGGCTCCGGCCCGATCATTTTGATCAGCTGAGGCACATCGTTGTAGGAGACCTGGCGACAACAGAGAGAGATACAGGTGTGTGTGAGAGAGAGAGAGAGAGAGAGAGAGAGAGAGAGAGAGAGAGAGAGAGAGAGAGAGAGAGAGAGAGAGAGAGAGAGAGAGAGAGAGAGAGAGAGAGAGAGAGAGAGAGAGAGAGAGAGACAGAGACAGAGACAGAGACAGAGACAGAGACAGAGACAGAGACAGAGACAGAGACAGAGACAGAGACAGAGACAGAGACAGAGACAGAGACAGAGACAGAGACAGAGACAGAGACAGAGACAGAGACAGAGACAGAGACAGAGACAGAGACAGAGACAGAGACAGAGACAGAGACAGAGACAGAGACAGAGACAGAGAGACAGAGAGAGAGAGAGAGAGAGAGAGAGAGAGAGAGAGAGAGAGAGAGAGAGAGAGAGAGAGAGAGAGAGAGAGAGAGAGAGAGAGAGAGAGAGAGAGAGAGAGAGAGAGAGAGAGAGAGAGAGAGAGAGAGAGAGAGAGAGACCACAACTTGTTCTGAGTCCCGGTAGGCCAGGCCACCCAGCGACTAAAACGACCTCCCATGCCTTTAGGATCTACCCTGCGCCAGCCAGCTCTGACAGGATCACGTACACCAAGAAACGCATGGTTAGTTCTGAGGACAGATTGGACGGATGGCTGTTAGCCACTCTGTGACCACCCTTGACGTCAGAAACGCCACTACTGTAGAAAGCTGTTCAGTAGCGTCTCGAGCTCTACCCGAAACCAATAGCGCCTGTGCGTCAGAGGTTCACCAAGGCACTATTGGAAAAGAAGAAACGTTACACGAAACAGCTATAGAGTGGCGCTGCAAATTGACCTGCAAATAGAACTCCTGCACAAGTGGACAGAAAGGTTCACACACGGAATAATATGGAGTCCGATTTATGGCGGGAAATCCCAGCGGCAATTATCCGTTCAGAAGAGTTTCTCACAAGAGTTAACCCGCGCCCCACTGGGGTCTGCGTATAACACGCCCTACTGGGGGGGGGGGGGGGGCTATTCATAGCCCCCCCTCCTAACTCCGAAACTACTGGGCCGATCGTCAAAATTCAAACGGCGTCTGATAGCCCCGGAAAAACTGTCGAGCGAAACCTAATTATATTGACCTCGAGGTCACCGATGACGTCACAGGTCAGGTCAAAGTAAAAATTATTAGCATTTTGGCTTCTTCACGTTTTGGGCTCTGGCCGCCGTCTTACAAGTCAGATCAGGCTCATTTTTGGTTCACACACTCGTGAACAGATGCTCTAGATACTCTGAGGGTACCAAACTTGTACTTTGATTTTCAGGTCAAGGTCAGGTCATCACAGGTCACGAAAATATTATATCATCCGTCGGTCACGTGACACATGTTTCATGGTCCATTTAGGCCAAACATTTCGAATTTGATGTCGTCTGTGTCATTCGAGGTCATTTTGAGTCAAATTTAGCTCAGGTCAGGTCACTTTCAGGTCAAAAAAGGTCAAATTTTGAAGTTATAATTTTCAACAAAAAAGGTGTCTATTGGATGCAGTTTGAGCTCAGGAACACGATGGTGCTATTTATATTGGCGTAAGATGTCAAATTCGTGCTGAAAATTGATTTGAAAAATTAATTATTGTTAATTTTTTGCAATAATGCGTATAACTTGGCCATTTTTGAAGATATTTAGCTAAAACTTGCTAGAGTTAGTCACAATAATGCGTTCTATCACATATATTCCGTTTTTTTTTCGAAAAGTCAAAAAGTGTTTGAAAAAAAATGTAAAAATATACATTTTGAATTTTATTATATAAAATTTTCGAAATTTTCAAAATTTCGAAAATCTGAGATAGCAGTTTGATAGCGCAGTCTATTCTGAGTCCGCTCATGCAAAGAAATTGGATCTAGCTTAAAAACTGAGCTCTTGGGAGCGATTGCCGTGGTTCAATGCTTTGCGTCGAAATCGGCCGAACATGACGTCACTCTGACGTCATTTCCGGCCGACCTATGGTAGGTACGAAGTTCAAATTTTGACACAAGGTGTCAAATTGATGCAGCCGAAGGTGCTGAAAGTTTGGCGTCGATACGTCAAGCGGTTTGGAAGTTATTGCAGAAAAACGGGAGGGGGGGGGCTATAAATAGCCCCCCCAGTGGGGCGCGGGTTAATCACAAGAGTTCTAAATAGAAAACCTTTTTGGAAACCCCGCAGAAAAACATGGCAATTGACATCTTCTTAACCCTCGCCCGTAAACGGCGATCTGCCACCTTCGCCCATGCAGGGGGGCAGTTGGTGCGACCCCCCCCCTTGGCGTTTGAAAACGGAGCGTCGTAGAGCTTAGCGGAAAAGACCAACGGATTGCTCTCGCCGAGATCTCGCGATTGGTGGTATATTTTTTGGTCCTAGGTCAACATTTGACCTACTTTTGACCGGTCAAAGGTCAAATTTTCGGAAAAATAGACTTTTTCAACTTTCGGCGGCGATTGCGGCAAAACGGTGGGAGATATCGACTTGAATCCTTCACTATCGTGTTCCTTGATCAATTCTCTATCGTTTGGTATGTATTTCGTTTCCCTAGCTCTAAAAATGGCGCGTTGGGAGCGCCGGAAGTCGGCAAGGTCACAGTCGGCGGCAGAAATTCGAAAAATCAAAATTTAAATTTTTGAAATCTGATTGTATTTTTGGATTTGGGAGGTCCATTTGCTCCCTATATAAGCTAATATTGCTGCATATTCCCATTGAGGTGACAAGAATTAGCAAAATAGTGGTTCGGGCGCTTTTCAAAAATAGTTCCGGACGCTGTTCCTCTTGTGATGTCATAGCTCCGTGACCTGACCTGACCCGGTCAAGTTTCTTATACCATATGATAGCCAATACTTGCCCCAACATGCATGAGAAGTTTCATCACGATCCATCAACCGATATCCGTACCATCGGCAGGAAACCTCGGGCGTTGGCACTCAGTTTGTGAAAATCCGGCCGGAGGCTGTTCCCTTTGTGACGTCATAACTCCGTGACCTGACATGACCCGGTCACATTTTTTTTTTTATCAAAAGATGCGCAAGGTTTGCCCCATAAGGTACCCAAAATTTGGCGGCGCTGCGCGCCGCCGTTTTTGCACTATTTCCGAAAAGCCTCGGGGGGGGGGGGGGTTGCACCAACCCCCCCCCCCCCACATGGGCGAGGGTTAATTTGCCGCGCATTGGCGATTGAGCATTACTGGGGCTTGCTTTCCGCACGTCTCACGTATTTCAGAAGCAATAATGTTACATAAAAGTGTCTGACGCAAGTACTCATATTGGGGACACACTCTCTATAAAACATGTCATGATTATTTTACCACATGAGTGATTCTCTATGCCATATACATTTACAGAGAAGAACCGATCCTAAAAATATTTCATCGAGCATGACGCCCAGCCAGCATTAATCAGCATTTCTTCTATTACTACTGATAGCTGAGGAAATAAGAGGGACGGTATTCTATTTCAGGTTGCTGCTGGCAGATGAGAGGGGCGGTATTATTTTCAGGGTTACCGCTGGTCGGTGTGAGGGGCGGTATTATTTTTAGGGTTGCCGCTGGGCTGGTTCGTGGGATGGACGCTACTATTTTCAGGGCTGCTAGCTGATAAGGACAGCAACGAAGCTGCGTCTCAAGTTTCACCAGTGGGAATAAGCTTAAATACCTTCAACGTAGACGACACGGATACTTTTGGGGTAGCTATGTTTTGAAAGTGGCTACGGGCCAGGCTCGATAGAGCCTATTGCCAATTTCAGCAAGACCCACCGGCCACCACCAACCATTACGCCCGAATCTGGTTCGCGACAATCAACGCGTAACGAAATTTCAGGGTACCATAAATTGGCGGTCGAACGAATCTGTCGAGTTCAGTCATTCAGTATTTGAGCGGGCTCAGTGGAAGCTGAATCATGCTAAGACAAGTTTAGAGCGCTTCCAGGTCATACACGGTTATATGAACGTATCAAACACAGGGCTTTTGGTGGCCATGGATTTTGGAGGCCGCCAGTAAGGAATACTTGAGAATAGAATGGTTGAGTAAGGAATGATTGGGCATTTAAGCTTATGCAGTTGGCATATCTATATTACTATTTGTGGTGACGTAGTTTCTGTCTATTACGAAGGTCGCGACATGGTGCTACGTAGCGCGGGTTACAGGTCACACCGTTGCACCTACCGCGCTGAAGTTTGCGCAACTCATAGAACAAGGATGGACAACGTGCCTTTGATGGGTCTCAGCTCGATCGGATCGATAGCGAGCGCGTGGCGCGTGCCCAAAAAGTGCAAATTCGCGTCATAGACTTTACATGTATTAATCGGCTGGCAAAAACGGGCGAAAACAGCCAAATTTGCCCGACACGGGTCCGGTCCCGGTGCAATATCTCGGTAACCGTGGGCCCGACCGGTACGGGGAAAACAGCATCGTGTAGAGAATCGAACGGGCTATCGAATGGTGTGCGGTGCAGGGGTTGGCACGCGCCACGTGCACCGGGGAGGACACTTTCTTTTGAAAAATGGACGTTTTGGACGGATTTTGGAATTTATATTAATTTCAGGTGATCGTCAGACGGAATGAGTTGAAACAGCGCCTATTAGCAATAAAAATGTACCGTCTCTCATGGAAAAATTGTGGAAAGCTAATTGATCAAAAACAATGTGGAAAAAAATCGCTGAATTAAATGGTATTTGTCCAAAATGTGCCACTAAATAATTACACGGATTTTGCTGCTTAACCTGATACGTTTGACAATTGAAAATGCTATCACTGAAAAGAGCATTCAATTCTCTCCAAGATCCAATCATCACGTTTGCATGACAAGCAACAGTATTCTTAAAAATATAAATGTTTCAAGCCTCTGCAAAACGATTTTTAGTGAAAATTATCTACGCCTTTAATTTGTCATAAAACTACGCGCCTAAATTATAAAGCACATTTGACAGATTCTGAAGTGGAAAGCATGCTTATCAGACACGGGCACCTCGATGCGGTGGATATGTTTTTCCACAAACCAAAACGTTTAGCCGTCAAAAAGCAATCGACCGAAATGGATAGATAACCCAACCGACACAAGAACAACCAAACAACCGCCGATCGAAAATACCCCTTTTCGCGTTGCGGAGCACGCGGGTCACCCTAGTGTAGCCTATGCAGCAATGTCAAAGTACGATTACAAAAAGGCATTTGGTCATTGACAGAAATTCAGAGCCGATCCCGTTACAACGGTCTCTGGAAATCCTCCAGCCAAAACTGCTGTGGGGTCGGCAGCCAGCGCCGATTGAGTTACAGCGTCATCCGAAGTACGGCCCTCCAGCAAAAGAGTGGTTGGTTAGCCTATGTGCTTTTGGTGTAATAACTTTAAATGACAGAGACACTCCTGTAAAATGACTCTATTGAAATGAAAAAAAGGGTTCGTGCACACATTTCGGCAGTGATTTTCAACAGCCATTAGACGTATTCATCAAGGCAGATCGCTTAGTGTGATGTTGGCAACCAACCACTAAATACCTGGAGGGCCGTACACGGACTCACGTCAATTTGAGTCTACGGGACATTAACCTGAGAGTCGGTTTTCGCAAACATGTTCTGGTATGATTTCCAGAGAAATGGCTTTTCGTTAGCTTCTTCAGACAGCTGCCTGCCACAAACGGACCGCGTCGCATCAACAATAAATCTGAGAAGATTGTCAGATTCTTTCCTTCCCGTGACGAGCACAAAGACCTGCAGATACGCTAAGTGGAAGAGTAATGCACTGGCTCAGCTTTACATGACCTTTAGAAGATTGTCAAGGGGCCAGAATTAGAGTTTGAGTATTGTGTAGAGTGGTAAGCTCCCCGTAAATCTCAGGTAAGCCGCTGAGTACAGATAAATCCACGCCAGTCTGCGGATTTAGCGTCTCAAGAACTATAAGTCGCGTGGTCGGATATTGGCATACAGCCATCACTCGGCCATCGACGCCCAAAATAACACATCACTCCTATCCTTTATCGATCCAAGTAGCTGCGCGCAACAACTCGACCAGTCCACAGCAACAGCTGCAGTAGCCGTAGCAGCAGTGTGAATGGACAACTGATAACCGAAGTAATACGTACTGCACAGGGGAAGGTGACACCGTTACGGGCGCTCTTCCAGCTGAAAGTCGATTTGAAAAAGAAAAACGCCATGCTGTTGAAAGTTATTGGCAATGAACAGGCAATAAGCTGGCCATATACTCTCATTGATTTATGCATTCATTATTTAAAACTACATACACACTACGGCAATAGACATGCTAGGTTATAGGCAAACCGGACATATGGATATTGAATATATGTTACGGATGGTTAATAGACGTCTGGTTTAACTCGTAACGAGTTAAAAGTGTGTTTTAGATCACGTTTATCGGTTAGTTTTAGTCCGACACGCCATAATTCTCGACCCAAGCGCGCAAATATATGGATACCCTAATAACTGAAAAGGCCGAAAAAATTAAACCATTCATTAACTTCTAGAAGCGCTAAGTAGAACCAGCTAGGCTACTTAACTACCTTTGAATCACTCATTTTGACATACATAAAATATACAATACATTTCCTTCAACTTGCATGTAGGGAATTTTCCTCCCGGGCATGAATAACGACCTGTCTGGACATCAGGAAGCTGAGATTCAGGAACCGGATGCCCCAATATAAGGCCTTCGATAGCACGCTCAACGTGATCTTATCACAAACACCAAACGCAGCCTCATTCCCGATACGCCCCACGTAAACGGACACCCAGTTCGACTCCTTTCCTCTCTTCCCTCCTCTCCTCTACCCTCGTCACTTACCTGGGCGAATTTGGCCAGGGCGCGCATACACCTGTAGAGTCGCTCCTCGGGTGGCGACGTCTGGAAGTACTGCAGAATGGCCATCGCCAGTTCCGTGGCCACGTCATCAAACACCTGGCGGCCAGTGTAGGAAACACTACTGTCATGGCCGCTCATAGATGGCGACACTACAACATCGGACACCTGGCGGCCAGTGTAGGAAACACTACTCTCATGGCCGCTCATAGATGGCGACACTACAACATCGGACACCTGGCGGCCAGTGTAGGAAACACTACTGTCATGGCCGCCCATAGATGGCGACACTGGTCACCTGGCGGCCAGTGTAGGAAACAATACTGTCATGGCCGCTCATAGATGGCGACACTACAACATCAAACACCTGGCGGCCAGTGTAGGAAACACTACTCTCATGGCCGCCTAAAGGTGGCGACACTGTCACACTATCGGACACCTGGCGGTCGGTATGGAAAACACTACTGCTGTGGTCGACAATAGAGGGCGCGACTGCCGAAGACTGTAATGCACAAAGGATACAGACGCACGATCGGACAGCACCGTGAAATGTATTGCGCTTGTTTTTTTCTGAATATTTACGATAATTACCTCAGAATGGGATACCGAACGATTTACCAACAGGTAAATCGTTCACATTAACGTTTACCTGTCACCTGAATCATTCACAAGAAAAATCCGCACACCGCTTGATCATGGATTACACATACGAGCACTGATTGTCATTGAAAACCATGGCATTTTATGCCCCATAAAATCTTAAGTATGCGATGAAAACGAAAAATGCTGAGATTGATCTGTGACACGAAACAAATAATACAAATAATGATGCTTCGAGACATTATCTAAGTTGACTGTTACGGCTTATTCCAGGAATACAACCATTAAATCGTAATTATATAAGAGAAACTGTTGTTAGGACACTGGCATGCGAGTGTCTTCACGGCAACAGCACAGCAGGGGCCAGTCTTACCTTGTTCAGGCTGCCAGCGGGCATCATTTTGCGCATGTTCATGTTAGTTTTCAGTTTCTGCCGGGGAGAGAGGGGGGAGAGGGACGGCAGAGTACCGGGCGCACGCACACGCAGGCCGTTACGCGGTGCGGCACGGCCGCTGGGTAGCTCGTTAGTAGGCGAAATTGACATAGAGCTGGCGTGATTAGCGGAAAATTTAGACAGATGACGTGAAATTAATTAGGAGGCATGATTAAATTACACGAGATACTGAGGGATTAGTGTGCTTTTTATTTAAAAAAAGTTGCGAAAAATCGAAACAAATGTTGTTCCAGATGTAAGGATCGTTTTAACAGTTGGTTGGTTATAACGCTAATGAAGTTGCATAAAATAGTCAGGCGAAGCCAACTGACAACGTCTTGGGGTAAAATGTAAGGCCTGAAATCCTGAAAGAAGAATTGGGATCAAAAGTGGCCTATCATCCAGCAACAACAGAACGAACGAAAAATGCAAACCGGAGTTAGCAGACAATACCACTGCAATATGACTGAATACAGATATAGACAAAACTGACTATTATTGGTGCGAAGGACGTCACTCAAACCCAGGCTGACAGCATATTATGGCATTTATAATAATATTTTCGCTGTATTTACTTGATGTCACCATCAGCGTTGGAATGGCTCTCGTTAGACAGCACCACTCCGAAAGAAAGAAAGAAAATACAGATAAATGCTGGATTAGATTTTTAGGATGTTCGAACGGCAAACGTACAACGTTGTACACTACCATATTTACGAGGCATCGGCATGACAAGATAATGTAACACACATAGATTATCCGGTTAATGACCATGTGCTGGTGCCGAATAGAACAATCCGTGTTCCGCCCAGAGGTTTGAGTGACGTCTTCTACCGGGTGGCGGGGAGCGGACGGACGGGCTGGCGGCGGTATCCACCTCTACTCAAACGGGTAGAACGTCTACTCGTGCCGGTAGAAGGCGATACTGACCACGGTTTTTACCTCCTTCACCGCCAGGTTGTACATGATGGCCGTGCCGCGGTCCTGCATCTCGGCGCTGTCGGCCAGCAGCGCGTTCACTGCCACCTGGCGACGGAAAACAAAAGTACAGGTTCACCGGCCGCCGGTAGAGTGATTGACGGATTTCGCAGCCGCGCGTCCAGGGGCTGACAAACTAAATTACTTGATAACAAAAATGGAAACATCGTAAAAAAACGCTACAATATCCGGGCATAGTTTGCACTTTAGGAGCTTCAACAGCCCCATATATAAATCAAAAGTCAATGAAACATACTACGACTCACTTCTAATTACTGTGAAACCTAATACATTTACGCCAGGTCAGCAACTTATGTAACTACTAACTATATACGAGTCATCCCACGCCCTCTTTCCCACGCAGTACCAAGCGCCAAAGCCGGCGATGTGGGCGGAGCTCTAACCCGAGCCCTGCGCCGGTGCCGAGCCCACTGACAGACCCAGGGCCGCCCCTAGCTCTGACCGCGGGACAGTACCTTAGTGGTGACTCGAATGTTGGAGATGGGCATGTTGTTGTGCGGGCTCTGCCACTCGGAGATGTACAGGAGCCACTCGCTGCTGCCGTTCTGGTCAAACATGTTGGCAAACTGAAATACATGGACAGTATTTGATGTAACCGATAGTCTGTGTTCTGCGTTAGTCGGAACAAATCCATCATGAGCATTGAGCATACACCTCAAAGCGGCCTTCAATGAGCCGGTAGCTGTGAAACCTTTCCAAGCAGTGCAACAGGTAATATAGCATACTGAATGAGGCCTATGTAAATTAATTCTAAAGATCGAGATCCTTACTCGATTTTCAAACGAAGTCGAAGGCCGGGTTGTGTTGTCACTCCCACCACTGAGCTGAAACCCAGTATCTGACCCTTCCTCCCCTCCTCTATCGGTGACTCTCTCACCATCAGCGACAGAGCGGTCTGTTCCTCAGTAGGCAGCCGGTCCACGTCATCGGCGTAGTTCATGATCACGTGCTCACGCCGGTCCTGCGGGCACACGAATACGGCGCGGTCACGTGACATGACAGGGATGGCCGACAGTTAGCTGGAACCGACTGGCCGTGTCGTGAAGGGAGGACCACAGTGAAAAAGAAATACACAAACATGGCGACCAATAAGTTCTATGAGATAATAAATAAGTTTGTCATGTCAGCTGCAAAAATGAACAAAAGCGCATGAAAACGAGATTAAAATGTGAAACACAGAATACCATTAATTTACGCTTAGGCACTGTAAAGTACCGACAAAATATTCTTTTAAAAATAAAGGGTGAAGTGCTGAAACAGGGACTTTAACGGTTCAGGAATCAAAAGGGGACGAGAGAGACTTTGGCTGATTCATCGTCTATCTCCAATAGTATCCACTATCCAGTCCTTAATCACGTTCGGCAGACATTACATAAATATGCGGCTGCCTTCCATAGCAGCCTAGAGTATCATGCCGTCGAATTCACCGCTACTGAGACGCGCAGCACTCCGAGGTCGCTTCGATTCCCCATTAGTTACCGAGTATCCATCGACTGTTGGTTACATCCAGTGCCCTATCGTCTGTAACATGCAACGCGAACCCCCGAACGGGCCACTCGCCACTTAGCGTCAATGTGGACGCTAAGGTGCTCATTATAAATACAACACGTGGAAACTTGCGACCCGCTTCCGCTTCCGTGCTTCCTCTTATGACCTATGTCATAATCAGCCTACCAGCAAAAAGCGCAATAAATCAATTGCGGCACTTTACTTTAACCACAACAACCATAATCCTAACCGACCAATCAAGTGGTGAGTATCCCTACCAAAAGTGTTGTGTCACTTCCCTAATACCACCAGTACATGTCCGAATCGACCACCGATAGGTAAATAGACCCCACCCCGCCATCGACCTCAGAAAGGCGTCCAGTGCCGGGAAGCTTTCATAACCGCGCTGTCATATCTCCTCCCTCTCCAATGGACGGCCGGCAGTCAATACGATCATGAAATGAATTGACCCGGGGTCGATAGTGCCCTGCGATCGACTGGACGGGCGGGCGGCTGGAACGCTGCGAGAAGGTGTCTGCCGGTTAGTGGAGGCTCTCTACGCGGGGTGGAGTAAAGACAGCGCAGGCGGAGCCTGCTGAATAAAGGAGAGATCAAATAAATGTGTTCCTCTGTTTCGGAGAGGGTGAATAGCGTGATGTCATGTAAGGGCCATGTCATGTAATCATACGATGATGATGTGGGGTTGTTATAATGTGAGTTGGGTAAACTGGGCATGATTTACATTGACTTGTAAATGCTCATGTTGTAGTTTATCATCTTCGTTTCTAAATACAATAAACAACTAGAAGCCGAGAAAAGAACGCTTAAAGGCAAGACTAGTCGCAAAAACTTGAAGACTTGCATCGGATTTGGTATAGTTTGTTTGGGTTGGATTGGGATTGACTTGGAAACTGAGTCTTGAGATGGTTGGGATGGTTGGGATGGGTAGAGTCTGTCTGAGTCGTGCCGCATCACCTCAGCTCTCGGCTAAATAGCCGCAGACACGGCTGCTACGTCCTTACGTCAACACCAGGTGCAGGAGCAGGATGAAGTCCTTATGTCCTTACCTGGTGCAGAATTAGGAGTAAATAATCGTCACCTGGTGCAGGATCAGGATGAAGTCCTTATGTTCTTACCTGGTGCAGGATCAGGATGAACTCGTCCTTACATCATCACCTGGTGCAGGATCAGGATGAAGTCCTTATGTCCTTACCTGGTGTAGGATCAGGATGAATTCCTTACGTCCTTACCTGGTGCAGGATCAGGGTGAAGTCCTTACGTCCTTACCTGGTGCAGGATCAGGATGAAGTCGTCCTTGGTGGTCGCCACGGACAGCAGGTTCAGCAGGTGTACACGTGCCGCCGGAGGCAGCGACTTGTCGTGCAGAATCCGACCTGCAGCCAGCCAGAGGTCAGGTCAGGTCAGATCAGGTCAGAACACAACCCGCCGGAGGGTAGGGACGATAGCAGTCGTGTCAGGTTGATGACGGTTATCTCCGTCATTAAAACACATGTTCAAGATGTTATCCTAACGTGGTTACGGCAAACTGGTAAGCGAATTATGTATTAATCTGAAAAGAAGTATCCGAAATTTTCAAAGGAGATGTCCACTCCTCATTCAATTCAAATTTTCATTATACGTTGATCCCTTCAAATTTATCAACGCTTTACTATTCTAACAAATGAGAGAAGCGATAACACGAATCCACAAAGTTGACTCGAGATCCGGTCGAGGTTCCACCTACCCAGGAAGTTGATGAAGTTCTCTCCAAGGGCCCAGGCTCCCTCGTCTTCCAGCATGTACATCTTGAGTTCCTTGACGTTCTGCAGCTCCTCGTCGCCAAGCTGGCCGTCCACGGCCTTCAGGAGGCCGTCAAACTCAGCCTTTACCTGAGGAGGGGGACCACGTCAGACGTAAGTTCGGCTAGCGTTAGCTATACTGAGTTCGACTGTTATGAAGCGACCACGTCAGGCGTCAGGTTCGGTTAACATTAGCTATACTGAGTTCGACTGTTATCAAGCAACCACGTCAGACGTCGGGTTCGGTTAGCGTTAGCTATACTGAGTTCAACTGTTATCAAGTTGAACGTCAGCGTTAGCGATATACATAGGATTCACTGGATTCACCTATGACAAATCCTATGACCAGCAGCTTTGTCCAACGTCAGGCCCGGTTAATGTGATAAATATTGGGGGCGATTCGATGCATAATCTTATCGGAAGCTCGGCTGTTTGCTCAGGTAAACACAGGAAACGGACGGGCCAAACAAGACCAACACAGAACGGAAGTGTGTACTTATAGTCACAAAGCCCAGTGGATGAGGACCGTATAACTATAACGATCACGAGCTGCGGTCGCGCAGCACGAAAAACACAGAAACTCATTTGATGGATTGCTTGACCTTTTCGTCGTGTGTATATACAGTTGAAACGTATATTCATGGAATAAAGCTCTAAATATGATCCCCAAAAGGTCGTTCTACATATATTTATAATTAAGCACGCAATTCTTGATAACAGCCCAGGGCATATTTTAACATACTGACTGCGTCCCATTTTGGGACGCAGCCCCCTGCCTTTGGGACGTAGCCCTCGCGAAATTTGGACCACTGCGTCCCACACTGAAATGCCACGGTTTCAGCCGAAAAGTGCGAGCAAAAATAAGTAACATGCCTCGGTCTTTTACTGTGTAAAAGATGTTAGCTTTCCGATTGCTTTGTGCCCTGATTTACTATGTACCTAAGCACATACATGCCCTCTCCAGTCCTTGTGCCCTGCCCTACCCTTGGTCATACACCTTATTATGTTCTTCCCTACTATACCCCTAGGATATGTGCCCTGCCCAGTGCCCTGTCCTTAGGTCTTGTACCTTGCCCTGCCCTTTCTTCAGGCCCTGTGCCCTGGCCTTTCTTCAGGCCCTGTGCCCCGCTCTGCCCTGCCCTCAAACACGATACTTTATATATTCTGCCTGGAAATTTGATGCGCTGCCTTCCCGTCTTTTGGCCCCGTGCCCTGCCCCTGCCCTACCCTAGTTTGGGGCCCCTGCCCTTCTCTGCCCTCAAGCCTTGTACACTTGTCCTGCCATCAGACCCCGTGCCGCTGCCTTGTCTTCAGGTACTGTGCCCTGCCCTGCCATCAGGCCTTGTGCCTTCCCATGTCCTCATGCCCCGGCCCCGCGCCCATCCTCGAGCCTAATGCCTTGCCCTGCCTCAGGCCCTGTCCTGTCATGTTCTGCTTCCAGGCCTCATGTGCATTGCCCTGCCCTTAGACCCTGTGCCCTATTCTGCCATGAAGCCTTATGCGTTGTATCGCCCTCAGGCCCGTGCCCCTGCCCGGCCTCGCCCTAAGTTGCTGTGCTCTGCCCTGTCGTCAGGCCTTGTGCCGTCCCATGCCATCAGACCCTGTGTCCTACTCTGCCCTCAAGCCCTGTATTCTGCATTGCCCTAAGGTCTCGTGTCCCATGCTCGCTCTCAGGCGCTGTGCCCTGCCCTGTCATCAGGCCCTGTGGTGTCTCCCGCCCTCAGGTCCCGTGCCGTTTCCCGTCCTCATGCCCCGTGCCCTTACCTGTCCTCAGAACCCGTGCTTTGTTCTGCCTCCATGCCCTGAGCCTTGCCCTGCCCTCAGGCCCCATACCCTGGCCCTGTTTCACCGGTGATAGCAGCACGCTGCTATTACACGTGTCAAATTGGGTTTCCATGGAGACATCAACAGGCCCATTGCTCAAACACTACCACAAGTATGACGTCAGCTCGCGGAATTTGATAGCAGCGTCCGACGTCCGTGAAACACTGCCCACGTCTTGTCATACTTTCGGGGCCCGAAGGTATGACAAGACGTGGGCGGTGTTTCGGGCCTTGTGTCATATCTGTGTCTTATGTCTTGCTCTACCTTTAGGTACTATTTCTTGCCCTGCTCTAAGATCCTGCGTGTTGCCCTGCCATCAGGTGTGTTGATCATCAGGTGTTCTAAGGCCCTGTGTCTTGCACTACTCTCCGGCCTTGTGTAATGATAGCCTCAGACCCGCGCCTTGCCTTGCCCTCGGACCCTGCATCCTACCCAGCCCTCAAGTATCCGTCTTAGCTTAGCTTCATGGCCTGCCTGTGCCTGCCCTGTCCTTAGGGCTCAGACTCTGTGTCCTGCCCTTCCCTAAAGTCCTGTTTAGAGATGTCAAGTTGGAGCCCGCAGGCCCGGAGCCTGGCCCAAAATCCGGCCTTACAGGGCTTTTGCATGCACAGTGGATTGTATCATTGTTTTGAGGTACCTCATCGAAACGCATCGACTGATATGCGACATGATCTATCTTGGTCACGAAATGACCGTAATGTGAGCTCAAGTTCTGACCTTGACATTTCGAGGTAAAAATGAGAGAAGAACGATCGTGCAAACGAAAATTCTCTACCTTTTTTTAGTTCAAAAGCTTTTCATGAAACCAATATTGACAAAAATGGTAATTTTACCCGTTTTTGGCTATGGAGCCTTAACCGTTGATCTGAACTCAATCCTGACGAAATATTGACGAAAGAGCTGTTCAAGATATATCGATTGCTTTTCTCCTATCGATTGCGCCCTCCTAGCTATCATAGTTTTTGAGATACCGGCACGTTTTCCGAAAAAAATATCGCATCATTGCGAAGTTTGACATTTGATGGCATACGGTCAGATCAGGGCCGTCATGGCCGTCTGGCCATAGGAGGATATAGAGGGGGCCACGGGGCCATGCTCCCCCCCCCCCCCCCCAAAGCGCCCGGACATGGCACAAAATCGACACATTTCTGGGCATAATAATTAAACAAAGGAACTTCCATTGGGTAAAGTTTGGGTTATATTACATGATAGGCAGTAAGGAAGCGAAATCCGAAGCATCCAAAGCATCCGTTCATCCAAAGCATTAATCTATGATGGATTTTTTATGTAGCTTTAAAATCCGATGATTTTTTGTCACAACTTAGGTGGGTACTGTTTGACCTTACGTCATCTAATTATTTCAAACACATAGTATCTTCAATGCAAATTGGCCATGTTTCACACGTCAACCTCTATTTTAAATCAATTGATAAGGGTGAAAAACGCATGAAGAGACGTATGTATCACATTTTAATCATGTGCATATTCATATTTATTCTCTAAGCATAGGTACAATTTGGTGCGTCAAGGGAGGTCAAATACGCCCAACGCCGTTCAGGAAAACGACGAGTGACTAACAACAATGTAAATGTCATTTTAAATCGCCGGTCCGCCCTTTGAATGCGGATAAAGAACGCACTACGACTGGGCGAATTTCGAGACTGGCCAAAAGCAATCACAGCCCGCTCCCAATATCCCGCTTGCAGTGCCCCTCCACCAGCACAGTACACAATTTATCTGTACATTATCTCACTTGCATTATATACTATTTCGCTTGCAATGTGCCCTTTCCGATCAAAGCATGTGCCCTATGCCACCTTTGGGACGCAGTGAAAAATCCTTAAAATATGCCCTGTAACAGCCTCACTAGGAAGTGTGACTTTTCCTTTTATAATTTCACTTGCTGAAGAAATTGAAATTTCAGTCAATTTCTTGGCGCTAATTAGCGCATAGCGGCGACACTGCGAAAATCCATATGAAGCGTTTGCGCTTTGAAACGTTTTGAAGTGAAGCATTTGTTATGAAGTGCGTTTGCCGCACATACATATATCTTTCAGGCGATATTCAGAAGTTGCCACGACACAGACATCACGACACACCATCCCAGTCCCCCGCCGCTGATTCAGATCAATGACGTCACAGAGGGTCCACCAATAGCGGTCCGGGCCTCCTCTGCCTATCGGGGAGCTGATAAGGCCGATAGGTAGGCGGCAGTTCTCCGCGGAACGACCGACCGGACGGGGCGTGTTCAGGTGTGACGTGTAAGTGGAAAGGTGTGACGAGACGGGTTCACTCAGTGTGACGGTGTGATGTATTTTCATAGTGACGTTATGATGACATGTGATGTGATCACTGTCCAGCATTTACTGCAACACTTGGCAGAGTGACGATTAAAGAAGTCACGAAGCAGTAAGTGCCAAACAAGTGTCTACTTCACAGTTGACTTTAATGGGACGGTAAACAGGTGGGTACAGCGAGTAATTCTGGGAGCCACTCTAGCCGGAACTCGCGGTTAAACTGTTTGACTAATGATGGACTAATGAAGCGTAGACCTCTGTAAAGAGTCTACGAGTGAAGACGTTAGAATGTTACCGTAGCTCTGCAACTAAATACCAGCAGAACTTGATTGTTCAGACAGAAACAGATGCCCTTTGCTGTTTGAACTTACAATTAAATAATTGACCCGAGTATAACAAAGGTGGGGCTGTTCGAGCTGACTGGCTACGAGCTGCAAAGACATGTAATCCACTGGCATGAGAAAGGTGTCCATAGACCTCTGTACACCGAGATCTAGGTATTGACATACTCGACATACTTGGATAGCGATAAAACTGGTATGTCAAAATTGTTTGGTGCGTCAGCTACCACAATCGTAACTTCCAAAGCACCCGTTTCAATAATGATAGGTATACTGGAATGAATAAACTCTATTCCATGCAGGATAGCGATAAAGGTGAGGTGACAGCACCTGTCCTAACTCAAACCTACATTCAACAAACCGTTTGTCCACAGGTCAACCCAGTACACGCTCAAGCTTTCTCGTCTTTTGGAAGTAAGTTCGAGTGTGTACAGACGCAGACTAAGCAATGCTAGCAGAACCCATGGCCAGAAGTACCGAATGTAGGCAACGGACCATCAAAAAGCGCCAGTAGCTGGTGGATAGCGCTTGGTGTGAAAGGGAGCTCTGCAGAGAGTCGGGTGTAAATCTTCAAGAAGCTGAGAGTCGCCTGAAGTCAGACTAGGCCATTGCCGAATATTACCGCAAGTCGCCAGGAACCAGTGAAGGCGGACAGAGGTCAAACGCAGCGATGAGGCGCGTTAAACCGAAGCCGGGGCACGCCAGAGTCGATGTATGACCGTCTCGGATCCCCACTCGCATACACTGGCGCTGCTCCGTCGGCGCTGCGCGATGGTGGCGCCATGCGCCGGCGGCGGCGGAAAGCGAAGACGCGCGCTGCTGCTCCTAGTCAGCGCCACTGTCGCGCTTCTACTCTTCTACGCCTTCTACCCCACCTCTCAAGACCTCACACACGTGTTCTACCCGACTGCAGACCCAGACCAGCTCTCTGATCTCTACTACAGCTGGGAGACCCACACCCCTCACGGTCTCCCCGCTCCGCCGCGTTACCCAGTCTGGATCCAGGCCACTCCTCTTCCTCCCATCACCCCTGACCGAACCATCTTCCTCCTGGAAACCTCGGGCCGATCCGAGATCCGGCCCCGCGAGTGGTGTGCCGTCGAATCGGCCGCTCGCGCCCACCCGGGCTACACAGTCCTCTTCCTGACAGCCACAGCACGGGTGAGGCGGACTGCCCTGGCCGCAGCGGTCCTGGCGTTCAACAACACACGGCTGGCGCAGCTCGACTTCGCCGAGGTTTTCGAAGGAACGTTGCTCGAGGAGTGGTACCGGTCGCGGGCGGTGCTCCGCTCCTGGTGGCAGGCGTCTCATATGAGCGACGCACTGCGGTTCGCGCTGCTGACCAAATACGGCGGCATCTATCTGGATACGGACGTCATCGTACGCCGCTCCATGGCAGGTGAGAACGACGACGGAGAAAGTTACACAACGTAGCTGCTGTTTATAGGGGGTTTTTGGCGCCGTGAATGCTAGAATTATTTTGCATCTATCTGCAAACATGAACAGACATTTCGCATATCATCAGGTTGAGAAGATTCAACTCGTAAATCTTCAATATCAAATATCAACCCATATCAGGCAAATACCAACCAATGACGAAAGCTTTTCGCGGGGCCAAATCAACTCCATGAGGCGCCACTGGCAACAGCAACTGTACGTTCATTTTAGCACATAGCTCTGCGCGAGTGCTGAAACAGGCCCGAATGATTGTTTGTGTGACATTTGGTTGTCTTGCCACTGCACTGACTGAAATCATCAGTATTTAAGAGTATGGACCCAGAGTCTGAAATAAAGCTTATCTATCTATCTATCTATCTATCTATCTATCTAACTCTTCTTACATGACAATTCGCACCTCCTTTATCACCCTCTGTCCGTTTCCAGATATGGACGACGGCGCCGGCCTGGAGTCGGAGCACAGTGTGGCCGCGGGGGTGCTGAAATTCGCCCGCCGCTCGGCACTGCCCGGCCTGTTCGCGGCCCGGTTCGTCGAGCAGTACGACCCTAGCGACTGGGGTGCCAATGGACCCGGGGTGGTCACCGCCGTGCTGCTCAGGCGGTGCGGGTTAGGAGGACTGCCACTGCCGCCCTCGCACTGCGGCGACTTCACCATATTCGGCAGGTGAGGGGATGGTAAGGGGAAGCGCGGGTTCGAGTCTCACTTGGAGAAAAATAGTGTATGGACGGAAGAAAAACAAGTTACCATTGGCGACCCTACATCGTAGCTATCATGGTTACCAGCCAACGTGCCAGTGAATAGATGTAAGATGATTATAGAATCTTCAGCCTCAGCAGCAACAGTTCACTACACATACGACTGTGGCCGATTTCATATGTGTCCAATGTCCAATATCAGAGCTCTGTATAAGTGTAAAATGTTTATTACCAGTCAACCCTTCCCCAGAGCCATAACAACCCTCTCCCCTAAGCCACTAACACCCCTCCCCCTCCCTCTCCTCCCGCAGTCGCCGTTTCTATGGCGTACCGTGGCCCGAGTGGCGACTGCTGCTCACCCCCGCTCAGCGCGACACGGTCCTGGAGCGGGTCGATGCCTCGTACGTGGTGCACACGTGGGGGCTGCACATATCGGGCCACTCGGCACCGCCCGGATCGGCGCTGTACCAACTGGCTGAGCAGCACTGTCCGCTGGCGCTGGCTGCTAGTGGGAGCAGGTTCTGATGGACAGCGGACTGTCAAAGGCAGCAGGTTCTAACGGACAGCGGACTGTCAGTGGCAGCAGGCTCTGATGGACAGCGGACTGTCAGCTGGCATTAAGCTCTGGTAAAGAGCACCGCCAGTAGCAGCAGGCTATGGTGGAGTGTCAGTGGCAGCAGATTCTTACGGACAACAGGCTGTCAGTGGCAGCATCTTCTAACGGACAGCACTGTCAGTGGCAGCAGGTTCTAACGGTAGCACTGTCAGTGACAGCATCTTCTAACGCACAGCACTGTTCACTGACTGCAGGCTCTAACGAACAGCACTGTTCGCCGACCGCCAGAGGCAGCAGGTTCTGAACGAGAGGCGATAGCCAGCGGCCGCGGCGGCGAGGGGAAGAGCCCCTGATTAATACCAGATGCTGCCAGACCCAATAGAACCTCACTGACAGTGACCGAGGACCAAGTCAGCGGTAGATATTCTGACCGAGAGTGGTAAATGGTGAGGAGAGGAGGACACAGTGGTGCAGTGTGGTGCCGCTGGTGATGCGCTGTGGTGCCACGGAGGCTTGTGGTGACCCTGAACCACGGACAGCCATGGAGGTGTCAGTGAGGAACAGTTTAAATAGTGATAGTGTGATGATAAGCTGTCTTAAGTGAACGAAACAGGGTAGTGATGGGTCCAAACCACAGGGTGATACAGGGTAGATGAAAAGACGCCAATGGTGATGACGCAATGAGAAGAGTGCCAGCTTCGGTGAAATAGTGAGGTCTGGTCTTACAGTGATAACTGAGGAATGGGCCAAAGTGAGTAGTGGATTCACAGTGCACATTGCTTAGTAGTTAAGTGGAATGGGGAGTAAACGCCAGTCACTATGTGTCAGCTACTCCCAACAAGGATTCTCTAAGAGTGTATGCGCGAGCCACGACATGCTACCGCAATGAGGCGTCCCACAAGCCGCAAATATACTCAGCTACCAGTGTCTCCTCACCAGAATGGCTCTCAGAGCTGGGACAGACTATGTCACACCCACTGTCGTATATGCTACACCCGAAGTGGTCCAGCCGTTGTCAGTTTGGTCATCCGATAGTGCGTGTCATTGCAGTGAGATGAGGTTATCAGTGCTCTGGTAGCTGACGATTACGAATTACAGCATCAGTGAGTGGATGCATGGCGCAATAACGAACTAATAGATAGATTAACAAACAAATGAAGGATGGATGAGCCATAGACCTCTGTAAACCCGGTGTACAGAGGTCTATGGATGAACCAATGAATGAAGAATGAATGAATGAGCTAATACATGTGAATCTCTGTGAATTGACTCACGTCAGTTTATTCGATCCTCTCTTAAACCTCACTACAAAATCCTATGTTCCAGCCTGCTACACCAAAGACCAGCCCTCTCCCCTCCCCCTACGCTCCCCTCATTGCTACTTACATCACTGACGGCATCCTTGAAGACGACGGGCGGGATGCGCGGCTTCTCTGGCTCCGGTTCCTCGGCACCCGGGGCCGGGGGACGCGTCTCGGCCGGCGGTGGCGGCGTGCCGTCAGACATGGCTGCTACTGAGCGAGGTGGTGCTGGTGCTGAGCGGGCTGGTGCTGGTGCTGGGGGCGGCCGTGAGCTGAGCTCTGGAGAGCTGGAGGCTCCGCACTGACCGTCGGCCGGGCCGCGAGGCTCTTCTGGCTGACTGTGAGAGGTCAGACGTGAAGGTCAGGTTAGAGGTCAGGGTCAGGTCAGGGGCTGGTCAGGGCCAGGTGTAGGGTCAGAGCGGAGGCCGAGCTCCGAGGCTCCTCCGGCTGGCTGTAGGGGGGGGGGGGGGGGAGGAGACTGGCTGAAGTTCAAGTCAGACTAGTCAGAAGCTAGGTCAGGTTAAGGTAAGAGGCCGGCCAGGGGTTAGGTAAAGGTTTGGGAGTTATTTAGGGGCACTGAAGGGGCTCAAACAGATCAGGAAAATTGTAGTGACAAGTGTATAACATTGTTTATAGCCCAGGGAAACATTTTCTTCCCCGTCGGCGCCACATTGCATAGGTAGCTCAATAACGGGTAAGATTCATGGAACATAAATCAGCAGCGCACATGATTCGAACTATAAGAACAAATCAGATTCAGATGACGACAGCATCAATCATTTCACATTCACAAATGAATAAGCACAGTTCGTCAACAAGACTGTAATGATGTAAAAAAAAAAAAAACAATGAACAAAAGCACCAGCACATCACCAGCGCTATGATATCAAAAGGGCATCCATGCAATGCCAATATTCTTCAAACAATATCGATGTTAGTTTCACACGTTAGTAAAATTGTATCACACACCACGCTCTCTCAAAACAGTAGGTACGAAACAACTAGAATGGATAAATACCATGCAACAACCATTAGAGCAATGCTCCTCTCCACAACAAAGGTAAAGTACCCACTGGAGGATGAAATAACTCCACAGTGCTCCACAGACTTCACACTAGTGATAATAAATTATTCCAAACCTCAGATAGATTTCACTGCAATATTTCACGTCAGTGTGTAAGTAAAAACAGGACCATTACCACTTAGTGTCGACAAAACTGCACAAAACTAGCGCACAAATCGTCCTTGGTAGTACGGGACGTTCACTCATGTTGGAGCTCAGTGTTAGTATCTCTCGGAGCTGGCCACGTCTCCAAAGAGCGCCCGCTCTGGCAGGGTGGAGCGGCTGGACGCGTTACTGCCGCTTCGGCGGGCGACAAAGCAGAGTCCTGACACTGCACTGCATTGCAGAGTAGCAGCGGGCGGCGGCGGCGGGCGGCGGCGGCGGGCGGCGGTGGGCAACAGAACGTTGGAAATAGGCTCAGGTTAAGGTGTACACGTTCGAAGTATGCCTCGGCTGGATAAATGATGCTTCAAAGGTCAAGGTAAAATCCAAACCAGACCAAATGAACCTCTATGCTTAGATACCGAATGATAATTTTGACAATTTACACAAGTCCCAAACTCAAAGAATCTAATGCAGCCTTAAAGGACCAAGTTTGACAATATGCCCAAATCTAACATGATATCTGGGGGCTTTAACGAATTGAGACAGACTAAGAACGTTTGTACGTTACGGAGACCACCACGCAGAAGGTGTCTGCCCCTGCGCCGCCGCCGCCGCTGCCTCCCACAGGGTAGGTAACTACGGACGGGTGTACCTAAAGGTGACACGGCGCGGGGACCCGACACGCTGCTCCGACCTCGAGCTCTCCTCTACGTCCAGAAGGTCCGCAGAGCCAGCCCGCGAGCGACGCTTCTTGTGCGACTTGCCGTCGCGCTTCTTCTTCTTCTTCTCAGCCTTGTGGAGTTTTTCGCTGAGCGAGCTGCGCCGTTCGTCGAGCAGTTGGTTCTGTTTGCTGAGACAGCCCGCCGGCCGGACCCGTCAGCATCGGTATAGGCCGGTTTGGTGATGGTAATGAACATGACATGCGTGCAATGTAGTTAAGTGGCTGTTGCGTACGGTAAAGTAATAATATATAAGGCTAATAAATAATAAATAAAGGCTCGATGGAATTGTATGATAAAAGCGTATGTCGCTGTGGTAATGTGAGTGCAAACATATGGGAAATCATGCCCATTTATCGGAGTAATATGCATTTCAAATCATACACTATGTGTGGACGGATTTCAGCTGAATTACTTCAAGCGACACCTACATGAAATGCAAACTGTAAAGGCTGTTCGCAGGGCCAATCACTGATATATTTTTTTTAAGAAGAAATCACCCAACGAACCGTCACCACCACACAGCCGTCCCCCATTCCTCCAGTTCCCTGCCCACTCCCCGCTCTACTAACCGGATCTCCTCGACTCGCTGGTTGAGCTCCACGAAGTCTGGACTGTCCTCTCTGTTCGAGCTCCTGACGTCCCGCACTGGCACGGACAACGGGTCGTTGGGGCTACGCTTCAGGGATAAACTGGCGAGCAGCGGGGCGACTGTCTGACCCAGGGGCCTGTGGGTGAGGGGGAGGGGGGAAGTCAGCTAGGACAGAGACTGGAATGCTGCTTGAGAGAGACAGGGGGTCTGTGGGGGAGGAGACAGGGGTCTGTGGGGGAGGAGGGGAGGGTCAGAGGGGTTAAAATGGGGAGAGAGGGGGGAGGGTTAGCTAGGACAGACTGGGATGCTGCTTGCGAAGAAGTAAGTCCATGGATGAAGTTGAAGTTCAGTTGCATGAAGGCAAGTTCTCACTTCTCAGGGACGTCGGGAGTGCTAGAAAACATGTTTTTTTTTTCAAGGCAACTGTAGAGAATATAGGTAGAGCTTGATAAAATTACAAATGCGAAATAAAAAAAAAAAGAATATTGATGAACTGACAGAAAAACAATTCCTGAAAAACTGAAAACTCTATTACGTTCTCTCCGTCGTTACTCTCATTCTCTTTGTCTTCCTCCCTCACTTTCCCGACTTTCCCCTCCTCCCTGATACTCACGTGTTCAGCAGCTCGTCAGGGAGTGTGAGGATAAACTTTGGGATGCCGTGGCCACAGAGAAAGGTGGCCACCTCGTCGGCAAAGTTGTTGCAGTTGTGCTCGATCAGGTTGTACTTTCCCGGCCTGCAAGGCGTAAAACACGACATGCCAAATAAACACTCTTGTCTCTTGCCTTCTGAAAAACGTCAAGCTTTGAATATAAATCCAACATCGTTTTAAAAGCAATTAATCAAGTGATTCGTTTGAGTGTTATTCCCCATCCTAAACCGACTAGGGAAAGTTGGCCCAGGCATTAGCTAACTAGAGCGTACTAGGACCAGCCGTTATCTAACACCTAACTAGATCTGAGTATGCACAAACTAGCATAACTAACCATCAAATGAACAAGGAAACAAGAACTTTAAACGTCATGTCCCTTCTCTAACCGAGAAAAAAAGATACATCTCACACTTCCCTCTACTATCCAACACTCTTTTCCACCATACCACTAAGCATAAAGGAGGCATGAGAGGCATGATAATGCAGAGTGGCACCCCACTGACATCCCAGTAACACACTCAAGCCCCACCCTCCATTGTAACTCACGCGAATGTGCTCTCTCCGAGTCCGAAGACGTATTCCAAGAAGAGCTGGTAAGGCACCTCAGTTTCACCGATACGCTCCACGCGAGTGGGTTCGCCGAGTATCGTCCCGCCCTGTGACAGAAGAAGAGGGCATTGTTAGATTGTCAGATGACATAGAAGATGACACAATAGTATCGTCCCGCCCTATGCTAGACAGAGACAGAAGAATATTGTTGTATTGCCAGATGACACAGAAGATGACACAAAATATCATCCCACTCTGTGATAAAAGAAGAGGACATTATCAGATGACATAGAAGATGACACACATTAGTATCGTCCCGCCCTATGACAGAAGAAGAGGACATTGTCAGATTTTCAGATGACACAGATGACATACATACAGAGCATCGTCCTACCCTGTGATAGACAAAGGCAGAGGACATTGTCAAATGCGTCAGATGGCACATGCCAAGAACGCACGGCAAGAGAGCTCGCGGGGTGACTCGAAGATGACAAACATGGTATGGCATACCACGATAGTTTACATTTCATCTAATCACAAACTAGATTTGAAATAGCCTCTTGTTGCAGGAAAAATGGCATGTCATAAATCAATACAATGCATTGCAATGGGAAGTTGCAAGACAAGTGAGAGGCTATTTTAAGCAGCTCTGGGTAAAACAGCAGCCCTGGGAATCACAGCAGTACCACGCAGTGAAATAATTTGGCCTTCAAAGTTCAAACCAACTCCCCACTACCGAGCAGCCGAGTTCGTCTGCTAACAACAGGTGGTTCGGCTCCACCCCGAAACAAACACATCAGTTTGCTCCAACCTTCAACCACCAGTCACAGCTACCCCTCCTCCGCCCCAGCCACCCTGCCCCCCCCCCCCCAAATACCCCCACATCTCCGACCCAGACCGTTCCACCTGTTACTTCCAAGATAAACGGGCGCTGACCGAAAATACCGCGCCGATCGGCTACTATTTACCAGCCCCGCCCACGCCAATAGCTCGACCGAGGATGCACGGCCGTGCGCGAAATAATTCACTTCGTGGGTAGGCGTGTTTTGTCCAAGGACAAAAGGGCGTTACACAAAAACTGTTTCCCATGGGCAGAGACTTATCTTGCCTGAAATAGGGTTACATAACAGCAGTCCAAAAATGATCTTGACATTGTATGTAAGTCGAATTCTTGCCTCATATCAAACGTTCATTAGCAACACTTCCCATGTCACAAAAAATTTATATCCTAACATTATGATTTAATATGCCCAAAAGAAGATTGCAGTAAAACTGAAGTCGTCATTAAAACGTTTAGACTTCCATGTTGAACTCCACCCATACACCTTCAGCACGAGCACCTAACTTTGAGACAGTCATCAGCAGGCGCGGCGGTTCGGGTCGACCAGCAGGAGAGGGGGAGGGGGAGCAGGGAGGGGTGAGGGGGCGGGGCGCCACCAGCTGCCAGGAATACCGGCTCTGCCGCCTCCGAACGGCTGGGTGAGTCACCGCTCTCACCTTCTCACAGGGGGCGGGTGAGTCGTCACCGCTCTCACCTTCTCACAGGGGGCGGGTGAGTCGGCTACCAGCCGGCCGGGTGAGGTGGATATTGGAGTCACCGGTCCAGCCTTGCAGGGAAGTGTGAGCCTTCGTGGCAGCCAACGGGTAAAAATGGAAAAATGGAAAAGGTTGAGGATCACCAACAATACTTCCTGTGTTTAAAGTAGGAAGTGGGTTCCCTTCATGAAGATATGCCTGTATGAAACGAAGGATGCGACCATTATTATTAGGCTCTACGATAAGCACATACAAACACCATAAACAAAACAAAGACCTATGAACTTTAAAGAAAGAAAACCACGAAGCCGGGTAGAATTCGCAACACGTCGCCCCTAGCAGAGCCGAAACACCACAAGCACACGCTACTCTGTAATGCAACCAACAGAGAAATGCCAAATCTTCCCAGTTCAAGAGGTTGCCGAGGTAGGCCGGAGCCACAGCGGAAAGCCAGGATAAAACTGAGATGATCACACAGGACAGACTATTTCTGAAAAGCCACGGGCCGCACAACTCACAAGTTGTAAAAATTATCTACCGCAGACAAAAGTCATGACCATAAGCCTCTCATGAACTATGATTACCAACGCCTTTCTCCTCTTCCTTGGCCTAAAGCCCCCTCTGACTGAAATTTGAGCCGATTCACCGGTCAGCCTGTGCCCTGCACCACCACCACTTCTTCTGTCTTCAATTCCTGCACCACTTCCGCGTCTACTCCACTCTTCACAGACACATCCACCACTTCATCTCACATCCTTCTCACCACGCTCTCACCTGGCTGTTCCCGGCGTGCACTCGTTCAGCTCAAACCGACTCGTTCAGCTCACAGCGGCCGCGCGGCAGCGAGAGAGCGTGCCCGGCAGCGGGCGAGTCGCAGCCGGCGGTACCCCGGCCACCGGCGGCGGACCAGAATAGACCTGGCAGCCACCACCGCCGGCTACCGCCGCCACCGACACAGCTAGGAACACAGCCACCGGCGCCCGACGCGACGAGGAAGACGTAGGGAGAGTTGGGAGGGAGGGAGAGGAGAGGAGAGGGGACATGTGTCAGTTTCCGGGTGGGCACGGGCGCCGATGTCCGAGGTAGATGACCGCCAATGAAGCTGAGCGGACAGGAGTGGAGCTGGGGGAGGGCGGAAGAGGGCAGATCGAGATATTGCGACACATAGATGAGGCTGGGTGGGTATGGCCAGATGAAGTATCGTTCAATACGCAGCGGAGTGTCCAGAATCGGTACCGTTTCTCTTCTGCAACCAAGGTGCCGCGGATTTTACAACCTCGAGAGTGACAACGGACCTCACTCTATAGCCTGCAATGTTGACGCTGTGCCTGAGGTACAACAAACCCCGCTAGGGCAGGGCTACACATCGACTGCCAACTGCTGCAGACAATCTGCTAGAGTTATTTCGGGCTCAACGTCGTACACGCTGAAATGTTTCAGGACACCCTATTGGACTCATAGAGATCTTATAATATAAGATATATTGAACTCATACAGATCTTATATTATAAGATCTCAATGATTGGACTTCGTAAGGTGCGTCCTCATTTCCAAACATTTGACAGGGTGGGCATTACTTTGGTACAAACACTTTAAAAATTCCTTTGATTGCTGCAAAACTGCCTTTTCCATGAATCATAAAAACAGCATTCCTAGTTTTCAGGTCAGCAGCTATTCTCAGAAGTGGACCATTCTCTCGACTCGGGCGCTAGTCTCCCTGTTTTACACCCCGGCGACGGACAAACAACAGTGTAAATCAGTGGTGACACCCCACACCGGAGTTTCAGCCAACCCCGCGTCGTGGCGACAATCGTGGATTGATGTGTGGGACGGGCGATGTTTTTGGACGCGAGGACCCCCAAAGGGTGGCCTCCGAACTTCTGAATCGACCTAACATGACCGACTTTGCTTGAATTGACCGGGTGCAGAAATCGAAATTGCACGCGCGCTCATTTATCTACAATTAACGCTACACGATGAAGAACAAGGGTTTGTGCATTTATTTACCAAGAAAAGTTTTATCACACCGAATACAAGCTGCACCCCGCTGCAAGGACGCAGCGGCTATGACAGCGCCATCTGCTTAGATTTTGTAAGCAGAGGCGCTGAGGTCGGCGTTTGCTAGCGCCACCGCCGCAGCCGAGCCTCAGCGCCACCGACGGCCAACGGGCGAACTAGCGCTTCACAACTTCCTGGTAGACGGTGCTGTTGACGAAAAACGTCGACAAACGTGAAATCCAAGGGTTTATGAGGTGGGCACTGGGAAAGCATCTAATACTGGCTCACCATAAATAATATTGAAAATAGAAACGCAAGTAATTATAAGTGTTGGTGACTTCTTACGCTTCCCTAACGAAGAATGTCGACGAAAGCAAGACAAGAAAAACTCCACCAGACAAACTGTAATAACTAATAGAGGATCCTGAATTGGCCTGGTCGGTAACTAGTCACCGTTCCATGCCTCTATCCTCAGGATGCAGAAATCCTTCTCCTCCACGCCGCAACCCCCCTCCGGGCTGGACAGGCAACTTTATCTCATGCGGGCTGCTCCCTTGGAGCAGCACCGCTGCTCCCGAGGGAGCGCACCCCGTAGCCGGGTGCAGTGAGTACCTTGGGGCTGGCCGGCCTGTCCTTCGGGATGGGCTCAGCCCCGGTGACTCACTAGGGTGCCTGCCCAGACCAATGTCTCCCCCTAATTCCTATCATCCTTCCGGCTCTGAAATGGTCACAATTGACCGAAAGGGCCTAACCCAACAAAACAAAAACAAACGGTAACTAGTCAAGTGGAGCTCTGTGTGTGTTTTTGTGATATATTGATCTGTGCTCGCCTGTCCTTAGACGGCATGTCATCAACATTTCGAAGATACTAAGAAAGACATAAAGTGAATTGAAATTAACCGACACGGTACAACCTATCAATATCAAGATGAGGAGCACCTACCTACGTTCGAGGCACATCGAGAACCAATTAAGGGTGTAGTAGCAGGTACACGCTACACGTAACAAAATAGTTGAGTGAATACCAGACTTGACGCTCGTATAAACCACAGAAGCCGTGCTCGGAGAAGTGGGCCCTGCCCTGAGACGTGAGGAACGTTATTTATCAACAACTACCAGCGAGCGGCCCCACCCAAACACACACAGCGTTCCGGCACTGTTCGAGCGGCACAAACCTCGCGAGTCGCGAGCGACCCGCCAGCAATCACTCTGTCAACACAGCTCCACTGTTGGCAAACAGAGCCGAAGGCATCCGCCGCCGCCCCGCCCCCGCCATGGCTTCTCTCACCGCCCCCGCCCCCGCCATGGCTTCTCTCACCACCGACCCGCCCCCGCCGCCCCCGCTTTTAGCTGCCCCAGCGTTCCATGCACCAAGTGTCGGAGAATGAAAACTTACATACAAAGTAACATGGAAACTTTCTGTGGATGATGTAACGAGCCACAAGGAATGTCTTGTCTTGCTGAATTACGGGACCATACCTACTTAATTAATAGTTCCAATTACTCATCCACCAGGATTTTGGTAAAAGCTGGTGGGAAGTCAACCAGCAAAACATCTATCAAAAGTAAATGACACAGATTTTGGCAGTTGCGAACTACACTTTCAAAATTGTACATTCATTTCGTTCAGCAACAGTTTAAAAGTTTATTCTGAAAAATTGGTGGATCATCCAAAACGGCTTATATGACACTGTCGCCGCCCTATTTCCTCCCACCTCCCCGCCTCCGCATTCGGCCGTAAGAGCCCTCCGCCCCCCCCCCCCCTCCCCCCTCACATACATACGGCCTCCGTCACCGCCCCCGCCCCGCCCACGCGTTCAGCCGCCCCCTCCCCCGGCCCCGACGCTAGCTTCCCGCCTCGACCCCACAGGGCGCACGCCAAGAAACACGGAGACACAGGTGACAAAAAGCGTGTCACTCGTGTCACGCTGGTCCCCGGGCTATTTGCCGATCTCTCAAACGAAGAGCGGCGGGGCGATGCCAGCGCCACTGGCGGCAAACGAGCGAACTAGGAGCAGACAGGACGGTTCGGCTAGTGGAGTGGAGACTTCGGATTAAGTTAAGTTTATTATTAGAAAAATCCAGGGAGCAGCAATCCAAGAAAAACAACTCATAGCGATTGACAAGCATAAATCCTTTCAAAATCCTGCGGCAATTATTCAATATCTGTCTGAACCTTTCTCTTTCTCATCTCATCTGTACCTAGGTTTCCTTGTTAACGATAAGAAAACTACGTTTGTTGTTTACCACACTCATCCGTTTCGGTCCGGATGCTGCTCATTTGCAGTAACATTCATCTCTGTTTACCCGTCAAAACTGGGCGCTCATCGCTGGCACGGGGTTCGGATCGGGCCCAGCCGCGCCCAGGTAAACATCCTCCCATCAGTATCGATGGTGCCCTCAGCCAAATCTGTGTCATATCACATCAAACACATGCTACGCCGTAACACCGGAAAGTGAACCGGTTCGGATGAAGTGGCCAGTAAAAGGTAACTACTGATTCCTTTGAACTTTTGAGTCATAAGGTGAGGAAATAAAGAGAGAAGGGAAGAGAGGGAGAGAGTGGGGAGGGAGACTGTTTAGCCGAACAGCTTTCGCCTTGGATAAATTGGTCAAACCTTTCTCGCAAATATTTTTGAAGGGAGTGAAACTAAACGAAGCAGCGTTGCCAGTCAGGCCATTTGTGGTTTACACTCGATATAGATGTCAATAATATCTATAAATATAAACAAAGTGGTCACAAAAACAAAGTAGTTTAAATTCAGCATTTTCTACGACTGATCTTAGTTTAGATTAAGGACGTCGCGATATAAACTGCGACGAAGAGGCCGATTTCGTCTGGCTCGATTTAGTACCGACAACATAGTTAGTGCCAAGCGTCAGAGTTGATGGGTGTAAAACAGCCCACCGGACTTCGGCGACACACGTGCAGGGACTCGAACTGCGCGCCTATGGATCAAAATTACTTTACCAACACGTGCTTTGATCTAGGCAGCATGCTAGTCACACATAGAGAAAAACCTTCGCGCGGTTTTATTCTTGCAAAAATGCATGCATATTTATATGTCCTGGAAATAATAGTCTGCAGGTTGTTTTACTCGCAGAGAAGTCAATGATCCTGAAACGTTACTTATTGAGCCAATACTTTATACAGTGAGTGCAGTTCGTTCACGTCAACCTCCTTCCCTACAGACACGACTAGACTGCAAAAAATGCCTACAAATTCACCTCGGTCCAGGCAGATACCCCACCCAAGCTCACGTGACAGTTCAACTTCATTACACTCGTCCCATGACCCACTACCCCTCCAAGCAGTTTCATCTGTCTGGGTCGACCAGGGGACAGGCGCCAGCGACCGTGACCTTGTTACTATTGGCTCCACCCCCGGGTGGGTCACGGTCACCCCTCCCCCTCCCCACCCCCAGCCAGCGTCGCGGCCAGGGGTATCGGGGCCACCTGTCGGGAGGGGGAGGGGGAGGGGTGAGGGGTGAGACAACGCGTAGGACCGCGGCGGGGGACTGGGTTTAGCTTTAGCTAGAGTTTAGCTGACAGGGAGGGCATATACCGTGACCGTCAGATGACACGCAAAGTTAACAGGCGGAAAATACGGATAATTTGAGACACGTGGAGCATGTGGGAAATTTGAGTCATGTCAGGAATGTGAAGCAGATGGATTAAGAGCATGACATGCTAGCAGCAGACAGTTTAATAAGTAAATGATGGGATGAATGCTTGATAGAGCGACACACGGAACACGGCCACGGAAGGAGAGAGGCATGGCTGCTAATCTAAAATGAAGATTATTTGGTTTGGCACAAAATGTCAACAGAAAATGAATTAATATCATTACATTTCAATTTAGCGAAAATGCAATCGGGTTACTCGAATTGGTCTTACCCATATCGACAGCACACAACTTAAAAAAAAAATTAGTCCGAACCTTTTGATGGGAAGGATTCACAAGGACAGAGCCACCGCTAAGCGAAGCTTGTTGCGGTGACCCTGCCCTACCCTCCGATCGCGCAATTCCAGTTCTATGGCAGAATTTAGAGCGCACGGCCGGTCCCCTCACTGACTTCGCCTGGCTACTTATCAGTTTTACCTATATAAAAACAGCCTATCATCCATTTTGGGGTTGGAATTTTTTTTTAAATAAAACAGCATTTATAGCCTGCACCTGCGTGACTCAGCACTAGCAGGCAAATCCACGGCAAGAGAGACAGATATGAACTTTAGTGCCCTGATATGAACCTATTCATCAGACACTCCAGACTCGGCCGAGGCAGACCGTTCTTGTGACGTTCTCGGTCTCCCAGTATGAGATGACTCAGAACCAGCCGAGGCGTCCGAGCCCCGCGGAACGGGCAGGGGTCAGGGGTCGAGGTCATAGGTCACAAGCCAGCTCAGCTTAACCTTTAGAAGGTCTACATAGTCAACACGGACTGTGAACTTCAGCACTCACGAGACTTGAACTGCGTTTGTAAACGAGATGACAAGGTACGATTAAAAGATCATCAGTTACTCCAGAAAATGTAATCATTATGTAGTTGGGAATTCAGCATTTAGGTAGGTCTGAAAACAATGCGCTTAGAAATATATGACTTTTGACTCGGTACACTTACAAAAAAAGCCAGATTGATCTAAGTCCGAAACGGTTTCGAACTATTTCAAAGTTACGAAAAACAGTAGTTAGATTGGAACCACTATCACGTATTGCAACACGTTTATCGGCAAAGAACAAGGCGCATAGTCACACTAGATTTCTCTCCGGCGAATGCCCAGAACTACTGAGTGGTCAGACAAGACGGGCCCACAGCGCACCCAGACAGGGTCACTAAGGCCGGGTCACACCGGACGGTAACAGCTGAGCGGCAGCTGACCTTGAACTTCACCTCAGCACGCTCCATCGCACATCAAACGGAGACTGGTCGGGAACTTCCGCTATAAACGAGATGCTGCGGTAAGAAAGGAAGGCATAGCAGCTCGGCTCAGATGTCCAACTGCCTCGAGCTTTCATGTTTTTTCTTGCTTTAATAGATGTGTTATGACGGGGATGCTAGCGAAACGCTCCAGTCATGAGGAAATGCTAGATAGTGACTAGCTTGCTTTGACATCATCCTAGACTCCGAATCACTAGACGCTAATCCAATAAAATTAACTCTTAAATACCGCAAGAAAACACGTCTACGGACTACCTCGGACAATTTGTTCTCCACATGCCGGCACATGTCCCGACAAACTTCACAACATTTCCGAATGGTAAGATATTACGGTCTAATAAATCTTCTGCCTTCCTGTTGCGCCTCTCACCGCCATGAGCAAGAGCGAGAGGGCGAGAGCGAAGGGAGAGAGGAGAGAGAGGAGAGAGGGGGAGAGGGTTGGCGACGAGAGCGGCTGACCTCTGTCGGCTTTGGACGGCCGGTCAAGTGACCGATTTGGCCCGGCCCCCGTGGCACGCGGCACAAAGACAGCCCAAAATAGACACCGCTATTACGGAGATACCACGTCACCCGAGGTCGGACAAATAAACAACAGAAGCCGGGCTATCAGATGTGAATAAGATGGTTACGATGACAGCAAGTTTAATTGGTAGCAGATGTAACCATTAATGACGCATTTCGGTACCAGGTTCTTTAGGTGTTTGTTGTTTTAAACACATGATCACCTATTCACCTCAATGGCACAATGTTGCAACGCATCCCGTTACCAAGTTACTTGTTGCAGTTCTCAAAAAATGAAATAAGTTCGGTTCCATACTAGTGTAAGAGTGAAGAAGTTGTGACGACCTCAAAGTTGCAACGACCTCAAAGTGCATAACCCTGCCAGCAATTAACCAGACTTACTGCACACTGCACGCTTATTTATCCGATTTTCTTTTTCGTCCAGCATTCTCAACTGATTTGCCAAATAACACGACAATGTCAATTTCTACCAACCTCTTTCCATGACCCCAACAACGCACTAGCAGCCACACGTCGTCCTACCCACCTTCAGCCGTTGACCATCCCACACCACCACCCCAGCCACCTATCCTAGCCATCTCACACCACCCGGCTACCCTTCCATCACCGACCACACCCCACACCACTGTTACCGCCCATCCCATCATCACCCACCAAGGCCCCCCATCACCCGCCACGTCACCAATCTATCCCTTGCCGCCACTCCCATCAAGATCCCCCATCATCCACCCCTTCCCTCACCCATTGCCCACCACCCGGTATCCCCGTCACTAACCGGTGCGCAGCTCTGGACTCCCTCGCTGCCGAAAAAGTACTCGCGTCCGAACGCCACCACGCCTGTGTGCCAAATCCCCTCGACATGCTGACCTGAGGACAGGACATAGAGTCGTCAGTGCGGCGCGAGCAGCGATAGGAGGGGAGCAGATCACAGACTGGACAAAGGAATATCATAATCGTGATCACCTCTCGTGATAGCTACAGTAAAAACGATATAACTCGACATTAGGCCTGGGGGTAGACGTTGAAGTAAAGGAATCCGTCGGATGATGGCTACACATTATGCTGACATTTTCACTTTGGCGTTGTCCAATCAAAACATAGTTTTTGAACTGCACGCCGTCTTGACTCCAAAGGCTAAAATAGCATGACAGGAGAAGCAGGAGCTACAACAAAAAGTGTTGATGAGGAAAAACGTAGACAAAAAGCAAAAGATCTAGCGCCGGGAGAGAGGAGCGAAAGCTGCGAAAATGCTTTAAGCGAATATTTGAAGCGTGCCAAATGGATCATACTTTAGCTGTAACTGAGAATGTCATATGAGATAAGACTAGACCCAGACACAATCGAACCTGACCCAGACTGTGTCTATCGTAATCACAGATAACAGTAGTACAGTAACAACAGTACAGTAACAGTACAGTAACACAGATAACAGTAACAACAGTAGTACTACTGTTATCTGTGTCGTAATCTATACCATCCGAACCAAACTAACTCGGAAATGACAACAGCTGAGACGGCCTAGACACTGACGAAGACAAGGCCGTATAGAGTGACGTAAACAGTGTAACTGACTCAGATGGAGGGAAAACATCGCCATGACTACATACGTGGCATCGAACCGGAACGAACAGAATGGCTGCACAGTGCACAGAACTTTAGAGAAGAGAACTAGTCCCACAGCACAACGGACTTTTGATTCTCAGCGCTTGTAACAGCATTGCAAACCCACCCAACGGAACACATTGGAGCACGTTCAGCATTTACCGGGACCTTAGAGAACAGACTCAGGCTCACGGCACACAGACACACACCTAACAGCACCGGGAAAATATTCACAAAGAGGCTCCCATGGAAAACATTCGCATACTGTTACCAGACTTGCTACTCCCCAAGCCAAACATTCGCGTACTCTTACTATAACCTTCCAACACAGGCATTCACTCACTTTCAGAGTATGTATAGCCCATAACAATTCCTAGCGCACGCAGCCTACTCATCTTATAGGGTCTGTGTAATCACTACAGGCCAAGCAGAGCACCACATTCTGACTACTCACCGAGCAGGGCCTGTGAGAACCTCACACCTACTCCCCTACCAGCGCCTGTGAGAACCTCACACCTACTCCCCTACCAGCGCCTGTGAGAACCTCACACCTACTCACCGAGCAGGGCCTGTGAGAACCTCACACCTACTCACCGAGCAGCGCTTGTGAGAACCTCTGGGCCAGGCCGGCGGTCAGGTCGTAGATGTAGACCGACACGCTGGAACTGGCGGTCTCGTCGTCCGACATGGCGGCGGCCTGTCAGCAACGGCCTGTCAGCGGCGTCAGTGGCGGCCTGTCAGCGTCGGACGAGTGGACCGACGGACCGACGGACTGTTGGGCCGACGGACCGACGGACTGCTGGACTGAAGGACCGAGCCGGTGGACCGCTACGTCAACGAGCCGCTGAGCAGACGGGAATCCTGCGGAAGAGAGAAAGAGAGGGAGGGAACTCAGAGAACTGGTCCCAACAGTTCGTTTTGATCTGACAAAAAAAAAAAACACACACACATTAGATGGTGCGAAGGAGCAATATTTGGCCAACGATTTGGCATAGAAGAGCAAGCTGATCGCGGAAGGTTTGCTGTGCACGGGTAAGACTTCAGGAAACGAAGACGGGAAGTCATTGCCAGGAAAAAGGTGCAATAGATCTTACAATTACCGAAACTCGAGGAACTGTTACAAAGCCCAACATTCACACATCTCCCACTAATTGTAACGAAGCAATCGTGTCAAGTACAGAAGAATTACAGACAATCTTTCGCTAAAACAGCGCCGGTGCGACTGCGAGGAGGTAATGCTTCAAGTCGCAGTGCAGTATACACATTGGCTGCCACTGAATGCAGATAACGCACACAGCACACACAGCATTCAGAACAGCGGTAAACGGTGATTGCCACACAGAGCCAATGAGCTGAAACAGTGACGCACAGCATAACCAAGCGTGGTAACAGGAGCGCCACTGAACGAAGGGAGATTTGATGAGTGAAACCCATCCTTCGTTTGTAGTCAGTTCAGACCGGATCGATAGATCCTTGAATCGAAGTTGAATGTCTGATCACCACGACGGAGTATAAATAAGACGTCGTGTTATCATATTTTACAGTTATATTTATACATACAACAACATCCACAAGCATCGTGACTTTTCAGTTGAGGTGATTATGAGGTGATGCGTAAAATAACGAAAGCATGCTCAACGAAAGCCTGCTACATCAAAAGGAAAGTTAATTCATGGTTAGTCGTTTAAGAGATGTTACTTTAAAAGGGGAGCCAATGGATTAAGGATTGAAATAATCGGTCGTTAGTTTGAACACGTATCTCAGCATTTTGAGTTCGTACAGCCTCCCCAAAATTCAGACTTCAGTCATTTTTGTATAGGGAGAACGACCGAACACCTGACTACTCCGACTCCTCCTAGCTCGAGTCACGATGCGAGTCACGACCGTATGAGTCACGCCCGAGTCATTTCGGCGCAGTAGTCGAGGGCATGCCTCCAGACTCGGCGCCTGGAACTCTGGGCGAGCCGGCCGGAGCAGCTCGGCCAATCAAAACAGTCCCTGTCGACTGTTCAGTGCTGAATCAGAACTTCAGGCGCACGTCACTGAGAGCAGAGCGCTGAGCCGATACTGAACGGATGATAAGGGCCAGAGAGGACGCGGATCAAACATCAAAAGGGACTGTTACCTTCTGGAAGGGTGTCAAGGTCGTAATAAGTGGGCAACTCATCATTGGATAAGATACAGGTCTCGCGGGTTTTAGCGGTAGGTTTTGCACCTAGAAAATTTAGTGTACTTCAGGCTATATCTTCGTCGTCTTAAGCTTTTAAGTGTTGAAGATGCGATCGACTTGTTGGTTCACATCCGGCCATGATCGTGTAAAATGGCTTCATCGTAGATCGATTAGTTTCTGAGATATAACCGGAAATGTAAAAGTGCAAAACCTACCGCTTAATCTCGCGAGAGCCGTACCTATGGACGGACACAGAACGATTGGGTGTGAGTTGACTGTCCTGAATTTCAAGCTGCTAATGCTTGCAGACAGCAATGCAAGATTGCGATCTGTCACACAATTGGCGCAAATATCACCAAAAGGACAGGGAAAACTGAGAAAATCCTAATTGCGCCTACTGCATCCAACCTTTTCGTTGGATGTACAAAATCCAAACATTGAATGCTTAACACAATTTAGCAAAAACATTCTGCAGCTTTGAGGGCATCGTTCAGTTCGTTGAGTCGCTCTCCTGAGAAAATCCATCATTGGGTGTATCAAAGCACTCCTCCAAATAGCAGAATAGCTCTGTTCCCGACAGGAGAACCATCTTTCCGACCGGGGCGAGGTATACCACACCTCCAGCCCGATTATCACTCTGCAGGCATCTGTCCATCTCCGCAGGAACGCGGACACCCCTTCACGCCTCGGTAGAGTGATGGGCTGTCAGCGGGAGAGGAACTCGGACGCTAAAATGTGGTGTCGGGCGCCCCGTGCCGCAATCAATTTGCAGACGCCTCGTTACGTGCTCAGGCCCACAGCGGGGAAATTGATAGGAAAACGGTGGGAGGAGCTTGTCAGCCATCCGGAGGGATGCGCTACCGGGTAGATGCAGAGCAGTATCTCATCAATAACGACGTGGATAAAATTTAAAGTAATCAAGAGAAGACAACGTAACAGGAAAAAATAAATAAACTACCAAGGGGGAAGAAACGATGCATACGGCACCTACAAAGGTTTCCGAAAAACGAGTAACATATTGAAGGTAACTCCCACGTCGAAGGGCTACATGCTATGTCGCAAAGGAAACCTACATATTTGCAACTTCCAAACGAACTTCAGAACCCCCATTGCCAGACACAAAATTACGGCTCAGCATCATCCTTCCAAACAGCAGTCTGAATTAGCTTACCCTCTCAAACAAGCTGTCGTTTCAAAGTCAAACACTATTCGTCTCTCGGCACCTCAGTGACTCTTCCACCTTTCACACACCGACAACGTCGGATTACGCTAAGCCCCGACTGGACTATCTCTCGCACAACCAGTCACGAGTGCCTCGAGCGAGACGCTCTTACGTGAAAAGTTCTCACGTGAGAAGCTCTCTCCCGAGAGGAGCGGAGCAGCTCGGGCCGCGAGTGTCAATTGCAGTTTGCCGTCGAGACCGACCGACTGAGCCGCTTCGGAGTCGGTGCCACCGCGCGTCGGATCGCGCAGGGTACTCCAAAATAGACCCGCCACCGAGCGGGCGCGGGCGGGGCAGCAGTGACGAACCACCGACAGCAGAGATAGACGGAGGCCGGACGGGGTCCGACAGGATGCGGGACAGGGCCCGATTTCAGCCGCTCCAGCGCTCGATAAACGAGGCTCCTGATGGGGATGGTCTGAGGTCGATTGAAGCAGCCGCAGCCAGTTGAAGTCCGTTGAGTGGGACGGACCACGTCCAGCTTTGATGGGCAGTTTGCGCGCTTAGCATCGGCCTCAAAGCTCCAAATTCCCCGTTTATCAGTAATTACTCGCAAGCGAACGGCAATACATATATGCGCTCAAAAGCGTCCGTTTTCTATGGGCAGCGAGTTCTCGGCCGGCAAGTTCCGTAACGTTTAATCCGCGGTGGTGAGAGCAGGTCATCATTTTCGTTAGACTACGCCCTCTCCGGGGTGCTAGTTTGGGCGGCAGGGCGGACTGTCTCACTGAGACGGTCTCTGCCGCTGCGGCGCACCGTCCATAGTCCGTACAATCAAATGCCTCCATCCTACACTATCCACTATCCAGCCCAAGGAAGCTTCACATTTCTGAAATGGCTTTTCCAGGCCAAAATATTTTGTGCTAGCGGAAAAAAATAGATAAAACCGGCAACAGGGAAACGCACTAGATTCACAAGAATCATGTCACTATACACCAATCTATGAAACTATCACCGGCCATTGAATTGGACAGGGTAAGATAAGATGATGGGCCAGCTTTATAATTCATAACAAACACCAGTTACTGTGTCAATGTGATCCAGATACCCACTCAACCATTTAGCCAAATTGAAAACAATGTCATTGTCAAACACCAAAGGAATAATATCATACAATACATACAACACACATCATTTAGGAGAATCAACCTCATTAAAGTTACTCCACTCCTGTGGTTGAAATATATAGCCCCCAACGGAGATGATTTTCAGTTGGTGGAACCACCGCAATAGCCCTATCCAAGAATACCTAATGAAAAACCTGATTAAAGTAGGGACATACGAAAACAGTAAAACACACTAGACAGCCAGAAATGTGAGCTACAAAATTTCAAGGCCTTTCAACTCAGTGAAAAATGGAAAAACATTGAATACCATTCCTCACTTTCCTACCATTCAATTATTCACTTCTCACCAAATATCCTGATCCTGTCTTATGGTTATCCTGCCTGTCATGCAGCACTCAGTCAGCACCTCAGTACAACATTGTAGCACAGTAGAGCACACACAAACACCTGCTCTATGCAAACTCCACCTCCGACCCCACAATGGCCCACAATGCTATTCATATCCATATCAAATCAATATTATATGCAACATGACCAGCCTAAAGGTCTAGCTACACTATGCGGGATCCTACGTCCGTGATCTGCGAGTTTGCGGGTTTTGTAGAAAATCGGTACGCAGGTCAAGTTCAGCTGATAGGAAGTACACAGGGTCGGCTACACTGGGGTCACGCAGATTCAGTCAAGTAAATCCCGGACGTTTAGTACAGGAAATGCCGGATAGTCAGGACCGTCAGGATGTTCCGTAATCCGTACCGATATAAAGTTCAGAGCTACAAACTTTTTTGCAGAATCTGCAAGATTGCGTGACGTGAGACAGCTGTTGGCGCACTTGGTGGCGCACCATATCAATCCAAATGACGTAATTAATAATTGTTTCTTTAATTTTCATGTGTTTTTGATGTTTTATTACCAAAATAAACTAATCATTAATAAGATTGTATAGAAGATAGCAAAATTAAGCATTTATTGTGAAACCATTTAATAGTTGTTATTATTATGTCAGCATACAATAATTCACGGAAATTCTGGAAAATCGCAGAAACCGATGTCAAGGGAGTCTCGCAATCACGGATCTGCAGATCACGCACGTTATTTCCTGGACCATCACGCATAGTGTGGCTCAGCCTTAGGTGAACAATAATGATTGAGCACGCATGAAGGAAACACATCATTAATGTCACACTTTGCAGTTTGCAGACTAGGACGCAATTAAATTGACAACTATGAATACACTTAACTCAGCAAATTAGTTTGAGGCATTGTCAATTGACCAAGAGCACAATGAAGGTATACCTAAAGGCTTTTTCTGTATGGCCAGGCTTCGTAAAATATGCAAGATGTTACAACAAAAATAACCCGACGTTTCGTTTATTGCCTTCAAGGGTAATGGCCAGGCTTGTACTTACCGGGTTGAAACAGTCAAGCTGCAAGAGTTACAAACGTCTACACAATTTTTTCTCATAAACTGACGGTTAGAGCACACCGGAGATATACCAAAACTACACGAAAATCATCAATATATAGCGGTGTTGAAATTTTGTGAGGAATACTCCCGACCATGACAAAAGAGTAATTGAAAATTATGTTCTATTTCTGAGAAGTACAGGCGTACGCTAGCAGGACTGCCCTTACAAGCTTCCGTCCCATGCGCTACGATGGCATCAATAAAGTAAATTTTGAACAGGTTCCAAAATATTGACGTGACATGCGCTGCTGCGACAAAATATTGTGGAATCATCGAAGTAATTGCCACCAAAATATTAACTGCATTCAAAGATGTCGTATTCCTTTTGTTTTGTTAGAATAAGTCAATTAATATCTCTAGACCTGTATGTAGGCATCGATCTACTGAAGAACTGTTTTATGCATTAAAAACTTATGAGAAAGTACCCAGAGACATGAGAAAAAATCGCATTCATAGCTGGTGACTGGTGTTCGGTGCTGGATTGGTATGCACTCTTAGCAAGTTTTCTTTTACATATCGAAACAGCTCGAATATTTCTTTGTTCCCTGATGACATCAGCAATTCGTGAACTCCACTGAGATAACAACACAAAACAGAAGCCAGACTAAGGCCATCTATAGAAGCCAGATCTCTTTCTTTGCTAGTCAGGAAGGGCATTGACTAATGCTCGCTCGGCATGAGGTATAGCTATTTTCTAAAAGGAAAGGCAAACGTATATGATGCAAAAAAATATAATCAGCATTTGCCATGAGATTTATTACGCACCATTTCTTCATCAACTTATCCTACTGGCGCGGGAACACCGCCATAATGCCATACTAAGCGGCACAAGCTGCCCGCCCTGCTATCTCTCGGCCAAGACACAAAGCGCAGGTTACTCACCATCCGACAGGTGGCACATATAAACCCGCCGCGGCGGAGCGGCAGTTTCCTGCCTCGGAGAGGAGAGCGTCTCACTGACGCCCACATATTGGCATAATTACACCGCGCCACGTCCCGCATTAATCTGCAGCACCAATCACTCACATTCGCCCGCACCAATATATGCACTAAAAAACAGCCGTCTTGCCGCCGGCGCACTGTGTCACTGTCATAGTGACACACTGTCACCTGTCACTGTGTCACTGTCACCCCACCCACCGATATCATCACAGAAAGGCAGACAACCCCTACTAGGCCATATACTTAAACTTGTTAATATCGTCCGGATCTCGCTTCATGTACTTGTTCTCGATCAACCACTCGATCTGCTCCTTGATCATCTTTTTACTCGGCAAGAACATGTTCTTGAGGATCTCAATGAGCTCCGTCTGCAGCTGGGCGTTCGTCGTCACCTTCCGCATCTTCATGATCTTGACGATGGCCTCCTGCGTTCGCAGTATCCGCAGCTGGATGATGCCCTCGTTCTCTTCTTCTCGCGACTTTTCAGTGCTGAGTTGCAGCCGACCAATCACGTTGACCTTGCCCCGCGGCATGGGCTTGCCGTTTTTGACGACGGCAAACTGCTGGTTAACCCAGAACTGGGTGTCTTCGACAAACTCCTTGGCAGAGTGGACCTGGGCGGGAGACAGGGTCAGAGTCAGAGAGGTGGCGTCAGCGGGAGGATCGCCTCCTTCACCCCAGTGGTGGGCGATTCGCAGAGGAGATGGATGAACGTCAAAAGGGTGTCGCAGGATGTGAGGGGTGTTCGTTCGTTCATTGGGGTTTACGGGCGCGTCGACTGCGGTGGTCATTTTGCGCCCATAACGCTGTACTGGTAAAGCGGATATGTCAACAGAGAACTGACGAACTGAAGAAGACTAGAACTACTTGAGATACGTTATACTAGTAAAACGAGTATATCACAGGAAAACTGATGGATTGAATATAAGAAAAGATGCTGCCGGATAAAACCCAGGGTGAGTCATCACCCAGCAGGTGGCGAATGGTGGTGCCTGGGGCAATGCGGCCGAGGCAGCGTGTCCGGTTTGGTTCGAGGTGCGGGCAACTTAAGAGAATGTGAGTGACTGTGAGCGGCACGGCACAATGGCTACATGTTGGTTGAGCATCTCCACGGAGGAGATAGCCATGCGTTGCATACGTATGCCCTATCCGTAGTCTGCAGAGGACCACTTCATGGTGTCTTTTGCCTTGAAAGCAGGACTGCCAGGGCTCCAGAGTAGGTTTCACCTTTCGTAGCTTCTCGGATCCATGGAGACGCCACTCTGTCTGCCAGCTAAACGTCGTAAAAGATCGAACGGCTGGGTAAAAATCGCGAGCCGGCAGAGGCAAACGACGGAGGCAGGGGGCCGCGGCCGCGCGTCTTGCGGCTGCGTCGGCAAGCTCGTTGCCTCTTATGCCCACATGGCTCGGTATCCAGCAGAACTGGATGAATTTACCTGCTCGTTCCACCGACGTAAGACGAGATAAAATGTCTTGTACTATCGGGTTGTCTGGATTAAAACTCCGTAAAGATAAGAGGCTGCTGAGGGAGTCTGACAAGATCAGATAGCAGGAGCTGTCAGACACCTCGATAAAACACAAAGCCTTCTCAATTGCAACGAGCTCGGAAGAAAAAACAGAGGCAGAAGTTGGCAAAGAGAATGTGCGTGTGTCATGACCAGTCACAAAAGCGCAGCCGACACCATGTTCTGTTTTCGAGCCGTCTG